ATTAAAAAGTGCATTGTTTTGAAACCTATGATTTTCTCTGAATTTAATTCCCGTTGTCTGGTAGATCTTATTGATTTCAAGTCTCAGCCAGTTAGCGAATACAAATTTATTATAGTGTATCAAGATCATCTTAATCATTTTTTTAGGCAGTGTAAATAAAAGGTTTTTAACGACAGCCTTTCATTATTTTTTTTAAATAACGTCCGTATTTTTGTCGTATGAACATCTTTTAAATAATAGCCTTATTATGATCTTATTTTCATACTTTGCATAAACAGCATTTGTTATTCTATAGAATAGTTAATATATATAATGCCTAGCTAAAGTATATAATAATTCTAATATTTCATATTTTGTCTAAAAACGCGAGGCACTCTATAAAATGCCTAAGTATTGTAACAGCTTTAAATAGTATTAAAATCTTGTAGTTTAAATAATTTAAATAGATGAACATTAAGGTATTTGTGAATGGCAATATTTGAAACCAGACTCGAGTGCCACGTGCGACTCTCGCACGAAGAATGTAATTTATTTTTAAATGTTAGAATTCTTTTTCCTTTTTGTTTTGTATGTCGCCATTTTGAATGCTAAATAAAGTTTTTTCTGTGTTCCATCATTGGAGTTGCTTCATATCGCCAAAGAAGTATCACAGTATTCTATAGAATCCTGGCATTTCATGCACTACACACATATATTTCAAAGATTTTGTAAAATTTTAACAAGATTTTCCTACTTATTTGTCTTTCGAATTTCCATGTTTACTGTATAGTTATAATCTAATAAAAATGTTTACAGCGTTGTTGTTTTGTCTTTTATGATTGAAACCATTTTCTGACACGGATACCAAAATATAATGTGAATTTCCGGGGTTTGGGTGCTGAGCCCACGAGTATTATATTGTAACTAACCAGAAATTAGAATTAAAATAAGGAAGTAAAAAGAAAAAGTAATATCTAATAAAACTGAAAACGTTTCTTTCAAAAGAAAACTGTATTTGTTGCGTTCAGACTTAAAATTATAAAGTACCGCAATTTGCAAAGCTATGAATAGAAACAACCGTGGCACTAGCCCTTAAATATAATATTCTGCTGATAGAATAATTATTTTTTTCCTTTCGCTTCCCACATGCATTTGCTCGCCAGATGAAGAAACTATTCAAGCAGCTGCCAAACGCCAACGATCCATTACGTTTTAAAAGAAATTAACGCTGAATCCAGTTGTGTTCCACCAACGCTTCAGCGATAATTTTTGAAATAATGACTTAAAAGCTCCAAGGTGCCAACGAAAGCTATTTCTAGCTGGAATCGGCTACTAGTGTAGACTTTGTATCCTCTCCTTTTTGGCTGGGGGATGAGCTGCAGATGGTGCTAGATTAAATGCATGCTTCAGGATCAGAACCACCGATTGTAAACGCAGCCGATAGTTAAGAGAGAACAGCTGGCCCTAGACATCGGGTGCGGAACTCGTTCATTGTGACGTCACGAAACGGCGTGCTGCCGTAGTGGTTGGGGAGACCCTCTAGTAGTATTTTACCCTCCCCTCCCCTCATCTGCGTACTGCCCGTCAGCCATCAGCTGCTGCAAATCCTCAAAGTGTATAATGGCCGACCCGCATGTACTTGTAAACAGCTGATCTTAGGGGAAGTCAAGATGGTGGTATCTTTGAAACGAAAAGACAATTTGAATGTTTTATATCCCTACGATAACTATGGTACATCAGCTTCAGATCTAATTAATAGCGAATTTTAAAATAAGTCATTGAATGTACAAATTCAGTTATTTGTATTTATTTACCTATCTATTCTACTAGATTTCTTGCAAAGTTTTTCAGAAAAAAAGTTCGCATATCTTTCGATATGGATTATCGTCTAAAGATATTTTATTTTGTCTTTGCAAAAAAGAACTAAAGCATACGTTAAAATTAGAGAAAGAACTTTGAAAGTTTCACGACTTCCCCCGGAAGAGTAATTTTATTTCCAAGTACGTTGTATATAAATACACTTAAAGACAAAATATAGAGTTATCTATCAAGGGCAATTATGGCTCTGTGGAGGTTTTATTAGGGAAACTATTATACATACTTATGTTATATGTAGGAATAACCGTGAAAACTCTAAGCAGCCAGCACATTCAATCGCCGAATGTGTAACGTGTATACGAGCTAGTTTTCCTTAGAAAGTTCTCTACGACAGCATCCCTCCCTGTAGGCAGATAGCCCTAGTGTGCGTTATTAGCCAAACCAGACCATCCAGTCGCCGAAATATCAGCAAGAGGAATTAACAATATTTCATGTCTTTAGTCCATTCGACATAAATATTCACTAAACAGCAAAATACGAGATGCAGATCAGATGAAATAAATTAGAGGCAGGAACAAGAAATTATTAATACAGAAGTTCAAGAAAATTTAAAATGTAATCCTTATGATTCTGAAAAATCGTTTTTAAGAAAACGCAATTAGGAAACTCATTTTTATTTCAAAATTTTTAAGAAATTACACAATTTCCCTTCTGTCGTTATTCCTAAGATCTTCCCTCTTCTATTCCACGCTTATCGGATAAACTTATGTTCATTTCTAAAATTCCATTACCACAAAACTTCATTTATTAAAATTAAAATCGTTTATTCATTAGAATCTGTTCTAATGAATGTTTTATTTTGTACACTTGTTTTCGTTCTATCACACAGTTAGAGAATCTCATTCTTTAAAAATAAACTATGAGTAAAATGCCGTGGGAAAAAACAACTCTAATTATTATATTATGTTAGTAATTTTACAGAAAATTGCTAATTTCTTGATCATAACAGTATACTATGTTTAAATAAAAGTAGGGGGGAAAGAATTAGTTTAACTTTTAATATTTCGTAATTTTTTTTATTTTTACCCCAAAAAAAGTGTATTTCTCAATATGACTGTCATTAGCATATTAGATTCGTCTAGATACACTTGACAGGATTTTAATGCATGATGTTTTCCAGGGATTATCTTCTCAATTCCAATTAAATTTTAAGATTTCCAGCAGCAAAAACTTTTTGTTTATTTCCTTTTCCAACGAGAAATTATCATATGTACTTGAACTGTTCCATATTCAGTGGTGAGGCCTTTTTGAGTAAGATCTTTTGATCTGCGCTGAAATAAATACCTGTGCAGCCAACCCGTTTAGAACCACGAGCCGAATTACCAGTGTTTAGCGACTTTACTGCTCGACCGGTGGTGTGCCCTCTAGACTATAGAAATAGTTAAAAAAATAAATCCATGTAAAACTTGCTTTTATTTTCTTTAAATTGATTTATTTTTGAATCGTAAACGCAGATTTAAATCGGTCATCAACTGAAATTTAAAATGCGCATTTATTTCACCATTACCTTCTGCCGCAGTTATAGCATCATCGTACATTTGTCTTCCATAAATCTATAAATTTTATCGATTTTCCTAAGAGTTCGCATATCTTAAAGTACATTTTCACACAGTAGCATCTTCAAACTCTGGCGATGTGTTTAATATGCCTACTTTTTTTCTTTCGCTGTGGATAAAGTTTTTTGCTCATATCAACTACGTCATATCACTAGCGTAGAGCCTAGATGCTACACGCTAGTGATAGACTTACATGCCGGATGTAACTAAATTTTATGATTTTTTTCGATAAAATAATCTACAAAGCAAATGGAGCAGAACTCGGCCAGATGTTTAAAAAAAAAAAAAAGAATCACGCCAAAAAGTTTAACCCACGTTTTAAAAACTATGAGTAATCCAATAACTTATTGGAAATAATTTAATAAGATATTTGATAGGATAATAAATAGCCAACATTTTGTAAGCATTATTTTCTGTTCTAATAGCGATATCTAATTCTGTTTCATATTTTATGGACCTAAAAGAATGAAGTAACAAAATTAAATGGCAAACACAACAACGTGAATTTTATTTTGCCGTGTCATCATATTATTAAGTCATCTTCATCAAAGACGTCAGTTTACGATCACTTGCGAGATACCTGGTGAACTTAGAAACATGTTTATAAGGAGCTCGAACCATTAGTCCAACAGTCCATTAGAAAAATGATGTGACAAAAGTTTCAATTCTAGTTGGTTTAATATTTCAATTTTGGTTTCAATTCTAGTTATGTTTCAAAGCTGAAAAATTCGAAAATATAATTCAGTCAGTTGGAGAATTTAATTTTAAACTTGTCGCGCTAAAAATGTGATAGAATAGGATACATAATAATGCATATTTCTTCTAAATCCGCTAAACTAATCATTATGCTTGTACTTATAAATACGAACATACAATAAAGTACACGAATTTTTTGCTATAATTAATACAAAAACACATAAAAACAACTCATTCTAAAATTTGCGATAATCACCACATGTAATGTTAATGAATCAGTGTCAATAAATACATCCTAAAGAACTGAAGGAGTCTTTAAAGAAATATAGGCGGCGGATAAATGTGATAAAATTCTTTGGAATATAATAGGATTTGATTATGGGCCTGTCTTATTATGTCATGCTGGTAGAATAAGAATTGCTAGTTGTTGGTACTGAAATATGTTATACATCAATTTTTATTTATTTAGTTTTATTTTCCTTTGAAGTAACTTCGAATAATAAACCTGATCACTTAAACTGAAGTTGTGTTAGAATCACAAATGCCGCATCATTTATTTAGTCAAATATAATAACTCATTACTTTTACACCGCACAGAAGGCGGAGAAGGGGATCCCCATTTTACATTTTTAAACACGTTATTAAAAAAAATGCTTAAATGCCAGCAGACCTAAACATCTGTCACCGACCAACATACATACAGCAGAAGCGGAAACTCTTTTCTACCCCCTTAAGAAGTTTCCCCCATTTCGCTCCCTCTACAAGAGCAGCCGGCCACGCGCCGTATGTTTGCCCTCAACCAATCAAAAGTACGCGTGGCCTGGTGCTAAGCTGGAAGGCAGATGGCACGCGCCACATGTCACATCTGAATAGGAAACGGCAGATCCTCCTTTAGAGAGGGCGCGTGGCACAACTCTATATAAGGGCGAGCGCCGGATTTGAACTGTCAGATACTAATGTTGTGACTTGCCTGCGCCTTTGGATTACTACTTGTTCAGTATAACTCTTTTCATTTTCTAACATGGGTCAACACGGCAGTTGCATACAAGGGAATACGGTAAGCTAAAATTTTACTTAATTTAGAATATATTTAATTAGTAAATATGTTACATAATGCTGATATTTATAGAATATGCTGTTTTATGCAGAATTATCATATTATGAAAGCTAATACCTGTTTACCATTCAAGAAATTTGGAAATTTCTCTTCTCAAATCTAGGCTTTAAAATGAAATTTCTAAAATCCTATATTTATATTTTGATTAATTTGTTTTTCTTCATTGATTAAAAGGTACATTTAGTGCTACAAAGACACTGCTTGAAATAAAGCAGAAACTTTCACACTGAATGTTGATTTCTTATAAAGAAAAGTTTGTCTCTCTTGAATTTTTATATATCAACCTAAAGTTTATTATTTTCTTTAAACTTAAAATTGGCATGCTTCTACCCCACACATTAGATGATTACTATCAGTGTCAACTGAAATTTTTCTTTCATATAATATTCTTATGACAAAGTAAATTTAAAACAAAATTAATTCTATAAATATATTTTCAAAGCAACCATTAAAATGATTTCAGCATACTTCCATATGAAATGAAAATTAAGATAAATTCTGCATTTAAATTTTAAGTATAGAAATTAATGGTATTATGCTTATTAGTCACATTCAATAAAAGTCATTTCATGGAATTACAAAATTATACCTGTTTAAATACTTTATGAATATCAATGAACAATTTTGCATGAATGACTGAAAGTTTTTTTAAAATTTTTATAACATCCATATAGTAGTTTGAAGTAAATATTGTACATAAATATCAATTACGGTTTTGACTTTGGTGTGTCTTAATTTTTCCTTTAACCACCAATAAAGAAATATAAAACCTTCAATCTGAAATGAATAAAACATGTATGGAATATAAAATTCACATGAAACAAAATTCTAAACAATAGTTTTTGTTTTACTCTTGCAAATTAGGCACCAACATTTCAACTTAATCAGAAAAAAATAAATAATTTTAAGAAAATAATTGCAAAATATTTTGTTTTTCAAAAATTTGAGCAATTAAAAATTAAAATACCTTTTTCAGTGTTTAGAGAACTTACTTTACCTATAGCAAAACAGTATAACAGATGGAAATTTAACTAACTCTGAAAATGAGATTAATTTTATATACATTCAAAATAAATGCTTTAAAAAATTTTAAAAGCCTAATATTTATTTTGTTTAATTCTATAATAGTATTTAAAAAAATCTCACTTTACTAAAAGCTAAAGTGAAAAATATTTATATTACAGGATTGGGTAGGACCATACAGGAAAAGTTCTGGTAAAGATGCAGAAGCTGAGTTTTATGATCGTCTAAGAAAATTCGCCACATCTGGCTCTAACAAAGATTTACATGACTTTGAGATTTTTTTCAAAAGTAAAGTGAATCCAACCTGCCCTCAGCATGGGACCAGAACACTAGCTGAAGGCACCAAACAGCAATCTTTAGAACCTCAAAAGTGTTCTACGCTGCCAGTGATGAGCAAATTTGAGGACATCATTCATAAAGAAAGTCACTGCAAAGATGTTAATTTTAGCACTCCAGAAAAAGACACTAAACTAGCCAGTATTCAGCCAATTGTTGTCAACAAAAGCTCTTGTTTAGTCCATGGAAATGCTGGTGAAAAAGTAATACAAACCAAATCTTCAGTTTGCAAAGTTCATGGAAACCAGCATACAAAATTTACAAGAGGCAAAATTGAAATGATACCAGTTATTCAAGAAAAACTGCCACTACCTCCATACAAATATCCACCTCAACTGACGACACCTCTGCTTACAGAACACTCAGTAATAAGCCCAAATATGAAATTAACCTATGAAGAAGAAGAAACTTGTGAGGATGATTCCAGTATTTTTTCATGCCCAGATTTTTTAAAAACTTTAATACTGCCCACTGATGAACCAGAAACCATAGATGTTCTTGCATCTGTAGGAGTCAAATCAGCAAAAGGTAAAAAAAATGTATTCCATTTATAATTTTTAATAAGGATATAAATTATTTCATAACTGCATTAAATATAGCTATTAGCATGAATTAGAAAATGTGCCTACATTATTATTAATCTAAACTAACACCTTACTTCCTTTAATTTAATAAAATGTATTTTTTGAGTATATTAATCAATTTATTGTAACAATGAAAATAATTCACAACAATAAATTCAATTATGCTTAATATTTTGCCTTATTATTTTACAGAAACTATTCAGAAACTCGAAGATCGTGCTGAAAACATAGTTGAAACTTTTGGTGTTGTGCTGAAGCATTTGGAACATGGAGACTGGTCAACATTTTGCATTAGTACAAGCAGACTTTGTGATGATATAAAGAAAACTATGCGTGATTACCATCTGAACTCTGAGATGGAAGATGTTGCAGCACTTAAGGTAAATTAAATTTGAAATATGTACAAATATAAATATGAAAAAAATTTACAGAAATTTTAAGAATGTAAAAAATTAGCAAATTCTTAATTTTCCTTTCACTTTACAGATTAAAAACCATGTAACAGGAGCGTTGAATAAGTTGACTACACACATTCTCAGGTAATGACTCATTTTAAATTTTTGTATAATTAAAATTGCTCAATAATTTATCCACATTTTTAAACCGAGGTAAATCCTTTTTATTCGAATAAAACAATTTCAAAATAATGAAGAAATAATTTGTGATAAATTTAAATATATTTCATGTTAAATGTTAATTTTACTATTTTTAATCAATACTTAATAGATTTTGTAGAAATATTTATAAATTTAATAAAATAATAATTCCATTACTGCACTATTCTCGTAAATCAACAGAAAATTGTAGCTTTAGAAGAAAAAATTGAAGCAATTTGCTTTTTTCAACTTACAACTCATAATTAATAAGCTCAATTTTTTTCTTACAGTTTAAATCAGGAAATTTCTACTGAAAGCAATCACAATGTTTTGCTCCCATCATTCAAAGTACTTGGTGAAGTTCTGCATGAGATGATGGAATTTCTCATCAGCAAAGAATTAAAAGTAAGTAAAACATTTATTTAAGGCACTACAATTAATATTCAATATTATCCAGATTTTCCAAACCTAAATTATTTAAATAGTGCATTTCTTAAATGTGATTTTCAATACTGTATAAAAAGAAAAATTGTAGAAATTATTTTATTTCCACTTTTTATGTATTACATTTAATCTATGGCTAAAATCGCCTAAAATATTAACTTTTTAACTTTTTACTACTTTACAAACACTTTTTAGATTAAAATATTTTGATTTATATTGGATGCTTAGATAAAAGATGAATACAAGAATTAATTGCATTCACCTAATTATTAATCCAGTACATTGAATAAAATTAAAATGTCTGATAATTCTGCCTAATATTGAACTGTGCACTCAAATTATATTCCTTTATTTGTAGGTGCTGATTGAATGTTTAAACCATGATTCCAACAACTCATGCATCAGAATGGCAATATGTGCTCTTGCAGAGATGTCCCTCTCTGGTAGACTGATGTGTAAACTTATTGTTGAGGTAAGATAAATCAAGTATATGTTAGAATTTTTCAGCAAGATAAAAAAATAGTTTTTAAAAGCTAGTTTTACTTCAAGGAAAGCAAATACAAATACTATCCATTGAACTGCCTTCATTGTTAATTAAAATAAAAAATAAGTAGATGGTAATAAATCAATCTGTATGACGTTGTTCATAAAAATTTTTTAATGTTTTAAAATTAATAAAAATTCAAGTCTCCATAATTATAACAAGAAAGTTTAAACAATTACAACAGTTAAACAAAGTTCATCCATAATCATGGAGCAAAGATTTTCAACTAATGTTGAATATTTTATATTATTGACTTCTGAAACTAAGAATTGTATTTTTTCTGCAGGCAGGTGCTATTCCTCCACTTCTAGGAATCTGCAAGGTGCGCAAATGTGCCCATTTACGTCCACTTGCATTACGTACTTTGACAGCCATCTGCTCATTCTGGGAAGCTATTGATAAATTTGAAGATGTAAGTACATTTTTATGTTTGAAACTATTCAAACAATCAGTGTAACACAGTTAATAAATTTAATGATACTTTTTATAACTTTACACGTAATTTAACCTCTTTGCTCCCAATGTTGAGCGAACAAAGCTCCTCCATATGCCCAAGACCTTCCAGTATTGAATGTTGCCGTGTGCCTAAGTGCATTTTGCAGTTAAACCTAACATGTAAAGATATTTCCTATAAAGCCTGTGTTTTATATAAAGGTTTGGATTCTAATATTTCTTATAACATTCTAATACTTAAAATTCAGACTAAGTTAAACAGCAATATTGGTAATAACAATTATATTCCCATATTTAAATTGTTTCTGTATAATAAATAATACAGTAAAAAAGAATTAAAATACTATTGCCATATTTACCTACAAAACTTTAAAAGGCACATGTACTGCGTGAAGCACTTCTAAATTATGAACACATATTGTTAGTGTTGTACATTTAACTTTCACAGAATAAAAATAAGTAATAGACATCATAATAATGCTAATATTTTACAGATTCACTTCAATAAGTTTTTGTAATAGTCCAACATAATTTATGTGCATTTAAAATAAAATGTTCAGTTTCAGCATATCAAATATAATACAGAGTAGCCTCGTGCAGGGAAACTGAGGCATATCATATATGATATGCTGGGAGCAAAGAAGTTAAAAGATAAAATTCATTAGATGTAAATTTTTTTATAATGCAGATTGTTTCTTGTGAAATCCAAAATTGTATTCGTGTTTATAGACAGCAATTGAATGATATATGCATTTTAATACAGGAAATCACTTCTTGTACATTAATAATTTTTTGCAAATTAGACATTTTTGGTACTTGCCAGGAGATATAATTTAAATTTTTGAAAATCATTATTCCATAATAATAATTTAAAAGCTTACAATATCATATTTGTATACTAATATTATTATTTTGTAGGTTTCAGGTTTTGATACAGTAATGGACATCTTATCAGAAGAAACAGAAGAGAAAGTTTTAAGTGAAACAGTGGGTCTTCTGGCTCAAGTATTAAAGCAATGGAGTGAAAAGAAATGTCCCCTAGCTCAGAAAATTGGACCTAGCCAGAACCAACTAGTCAAATACCTCATAGGTAAGTTATAAAAATTTGTGTATTAATGTAAAAACTGCAATATATACAAAAATGCTACAAATAATTTTTAAATGTCAGATTTAATGTATTTTGTAACAGGAGAGGGAGGGGGAATAACAGGTATATCACAATTACTTAAGCTGCTTATGCAAGCAAAACTAAGATAAAATTACAATTTTGAGCATGAGGAACTATGCAATTTTGCTTTTTCATATCTTTCATTTGATTTCAAAATCTAGAAGAGTCCAACATATATTCCATTATGGAACAATTCAGACTTATGATTTTAAGTACAGATCTGATAGAAAATGTAACCAGTAGTGTTATTCAGTAACAAAAATATCAAATGAGGAGGAAATTATTTTTCATCGCCTGACAATTTTATTACTTAGATTATCACAAAACTATGAAAATGCACTGCTTGTAAAAAAAAAAATAAAAAGGAATTATTGGGAAACAACCACTGCAAACAAAATGAAATTCAAAGAGACTAGCTTTATTTAAAGATACATTCTTTAATCAGCTATCATTATCCAATACATCCAGTAACTCGGGGGGGGGGGGGGGGGGATGCAAAAATTATACTTATTTATTTGTATATAAATATGCAGCTAACAAAATGCAAGTATTTTAAACATCTAATTTATAAATTATAAAAAAAACTCACATAAAATTTTATCAAGCATATTAAAATCTTTTCTCATTAATAAAAACAATGAAATATGCACTAGAAACAGGCAAACTATTTTCCTGAAATGGGCACACTTTATTATATGCTCTAAAACTTAATCATAACAAAAAACAAGCATTTTAAAATGATTTATTTATCCCTTTCATAAGCTAAAGAATTATACACTCCTTTCAGAATGATTAATGTATACTTTATTTTCAGGAACAGCACAAAAAGCACTTTCACCAGAGATGTTTCTGCTGTCTGCAGCATGTCTTGCCACTCTGTCCACCATCAATATCCATGCTGCTAACTGGCTGCAAGTTCATGCCCAAGAGATGAGACTTCTGGCATTCAACACAAAGCAAGAAAGTTACGTGTAAATATTCTTCAAGACCTGCTGGGACATTAAGAACTAGTCATACCCAAGTCTTTCTTTCATAACTTTACTAGTCAGAAATGGACTAAGTCATTCTGGATATCCAATGATATTCAAAAACTGGTTGAGTGTAACATGTGTATATATGATCACTTTGGACCCAAACATACTTGAAAATGGACATCCTTAAATAACATTCTGCATCTTTAAATACATGCAGTGAAGTTATATCTCCAAAGTGTTTAATACAAAAAAACATTTTGTAAATAATCATGTCTTTCAATTTCGAAAATCTTGTAAATACTTATAATTTTTATAGTTTTGTGTATATCTATAATCATGTGCGTCTAAAATGTTTGAATTCTGAATACCTGTGGCATTTATTTACATTAATATATGTAAAATAATCATGGTCTTTCATTTCACCTGATTGTAAATATTCTAGTCAAGTTATCTGAAGAAGTTTTGCTAGCATCTGCACATTAAAAAATTTGAAACATTCTGTGAAAAAATTTGATTAAATTTTTGCATTAGTTAATCTAAAAAAAATGTTTCAAATGTTAAAATTATAGCACAACTACAAATCTTCACAGCACGAAATGTGAAAAGCAATACAATATGCAATTTAAATCAGCTAGCATTACCAAAGTTCTTATACAAAGTTTAGCTGCATACTGCCATTGCACTTATCTATGTACAGCATACTAACATTTAAAAATTTAGAATGTTACCTTTATTTGTTACCTCTATTGTTCAAAAATAAAATTGATTTTGGATGATGTATTTCAGTTATGTTTTTATTTTGGATATGAGATTATTTTAAGAAATATATATTAGCTTAAAAAAACAATTTACAACTTTTAAATTTATAGCAATTCTTAAACAAATTGGCATTAAATTTATACAACTATTTAATTCTCACTTTCAGTAAGAATATAGAATTTTCTACTGAATCAGATATCTTCCATTAGTAGAACTATTAATTTTTTTTTTATAACCTGCCTAGGTTCAAGAGAAATCATCCTACAAGTTTTTGTAAAGTATTGTAAATGCATAAGTATATCATTAGAATAATTACTAGTAAAACAATCACAAGTGTTAAAAAATAATTTTCTAATATGCCAAAAGAAAGCTAAATGCACTATTAAAGCATGCATGCTTAATTTATAAAATACCTTTTTAAAGTACTTTATAATTTTATATATATTAAGAAAATTCAGTTCACTTTTTAAAGTGTATCTCACAAAAACATTAATGCATTGGAAAAGAGAACTGCCAAATATCTTGCAACTATTATGTATCAGTCAAATTTCAAATCACTTCATAAATTCATTTAAATTAACTATACATGGATATCAAATTCTTGAGATTGTAAGCTTTCCTTTGCATAAGGAGGGAAAAATTAATACAGTGTTAATTTTCAAAATCATAACTTCTTACCTATTAGCTTACCAATATTCTCCTCTTGCTACTATGCAGATAATAGTATATATGGAATGTATTAAGAAGAGGACACAATAAAATTGTAATAAAAAATTAACAATATTTATTACAATTTTATTGTGAGCTCTTCTTAATAATCACGAGACATTTATTCCTCCATATCCCTTTCAGAAAATGCATTATTCAAGTGATTCTTATTAAGCTAAAAATAACCATGTGTTAAGATTTCAAATATATTCAATTTTCAAAACACTGCTCTCTCTCTCTACAACATAAAATTTGGTATGCTTTTATCATAGAAAAAATTTAGCTATTTACCAATATATTCTGCAGTTAAATATGGAAATGCAAAAAAAAAATTCAGAAATACACACACACATAAAAAAGGGCAGTAAAGATTTTGAAGAAACTCAAACCTACTCATATATGATGTTAACATGTTAATAACCATCAAAAATTTAATATAATTTTTAGTATCAATAATTTATGCATTTTCTGTTGTCATTATAAGGAATTAATAATTTATGCAATATATATATATATATATATAGTTTTGCCCATAAATTTTCATATTGGCAGGCTACTCTAGTGCCAATTATCACAGCATATTGCACATTTTGCATAAACTGATAATTTTACATATATGTAATGAAAAAAATGCACAACTGTAAATAGAAATAAAAAATTTATTTAGTTAAAATAAAACTGATCTAGTTCATTTTTGTTACAATTCTTGAAAAAAAATTTTTTTTTTTTGCTAACACAATATTTAAAGCAAACTAGTTTGTACATAAGCTGATATTGAATAATAATTTCATGAAAAAATTCAACATATATTACAAAAACAATTATCAACAAAAATTTGTTTTGCATAAAGAAAGAACCAATCTGCCAAGTAGCAGTAATTTCAACTAAAAAATTTATATACTTTAGAGCATGCATTATCTTTCAGAAAATAATTACTAATAAACATAACACAAAATTGTCATTTGCTATAAAAGCTTTTTTTTTAAATTCTTTCTTATTTATCTTTTCTACAGGCAAATTATGTAAGGCATTCTTTTTCATTTATTTTGCCCAACTGCTTTAGAATAGGAAAACTTTGTTGTTGTTTTTTAACTCACAGGAAAAGATTAAAGAATCTAAGTCAAATTCAAAACAAATTTACATTTTTCTCGTAAAAATAAAATTAAAAAAAAAAAAAAAACTAAATATCTATCAAAGGTATGAAACAAATGGTAAGCACTAAATTAGGTTAAAATAATTATATGTTGCACACACCAGCAACAAACAAGAAAATACAATGCTAATAAAACTGAACATGTTGGAAATATTAGCAAATTCTTAACTATGACTGGCAACACTTGAATTTTTTATTTACTGGAAATAAAAGATGTAAAAGCTCTAATAGAAAGATAACATTTAGAACATATTTTTAAATCTTTCTTTATAAAGTTATAAGTAAACAAATGAAATTTATCTTATTTTTTCATTGCAGCATCAAAACTCACAATTTAATTTTAATTTATTATATGCACTAGACATGCATTCAGCATAAATTAATTTTTCCTTGCAGCATCTTGTTGCAAAGGTGATAACTTATTAAGGAAACAAATTATTTTCTGCCAAAATTACTTTAAATCATTAGCAAAATAACATGGCAATACGGAAGTATAGATTATTTCTTATTTATGAAAGACAGGTTATTTTTCACATACTTAGTTTCTTTGGCAGAGTGAAAATATTTCATGCACATTTACTGAAGCATGAGACCCACAAATATGGCTAAATAAGTGTTAACACAATTTTTAAAATCACCTTCATGGGTAACATGCTTATAGTTTGACATTTGTGTATGGCAGTTTTAGCAAGAGTACACCTTTAAAATTAGTGTTTACAATGCAAAAATACACAAAATATAACAATATTTCAATACAAAATTGTATAACACTTGATGCTTTAAGTGAGAATACTTTACAGCATTTAATTTATTAATAGCTTATATTTTTTACACCTGAAAATTACAATTTTACTAACATTCAACAAATTTAATCAAAGGTGTACATCTTACAGCAGCAGTTTCACAATTAAAAAAACCTTCATGAATGACTGGTATTTTACATTAATGTAACAATAGGTGCAAGAAATATGAGGCAAAAGAATCACAGCGATTTGTTCAATCAGACTAAAGAAAACACTTTGAAAATAAGTGGCTTCTACAGTTCCCTTGTCTGATTGCAAAGTATTCTAAATGTTCACTCTTTGTGATCTATACACTATTTTATCAAACACCTGAGTCCAATTCTGCGTCATTTTTTAAATCTCCCTCGAAAACTGCTAATTTTTCTTTAAGTACTTCAAATTTATCTCTGTCTACAGCAAACCTCTGAAAATGCACTATCAAACCACTGCACGGAGTTTCTGGAGGTGATAATGAAGAATCTGTAACACTGCAAAGGCAGTCCACTAAATGTATCACAACTTTTGCCCTTTAAAATAAAATACTTTATATAAGAAAAACAAGTACAGCATAAGTATAACATTAGTGAAAAGCTTATTTAATTATAATTCTGTTATATAACAAAATTTTTATGCAGTAATGTATTTTGTTAGAATGAACAAGAAATGACAGCTAACACATGTCACTGTACCATCACCAAGATATGAATCAAAAACATCTATTACTATTAAAGGCTCTGGAAGCTAAACAATAATCTTCAATTTATATGCTTTGCATTAGAAGATATCTTTTATTTTAAATTCACTGAAAATGAATGACCAAAGAGATACCTCATTAACAGCACATCAATTCTCTTGTAACACAAATGATAGCAAACATTCCCTCCTCCCTTCCAAATGGCAGGCGCTATTTTGTCTTTTTTCAAAACTGGCCACTCCTAAAGCTGAAAGTGGTGGCCATTTTATTGTAGGGACACCTAATAGGTGGCCACCATTATCTCCTATGAAGGGATGGACAGTTATAACCATGCCTTCTCCGTAATTTGAGCCCAGGATCTTTGGTATCTTATTCGGCTTCTCTAACCACTGCACCATCTGGGCGACATAATAGCAACATATGCTGATGTATCAATTTCATCACAAACTGGAAGAACACTAAACCCCATCTACTGCAACACTATTCACATCAGAAAGACAATGGACCCAGATTCACAAACCTGATGTTTCAAGAGACAGCATCCAACAGAGATGTTTGTTCGGACTTAAACCTACAGGTTTTAACAAATGGTCTGGAAAACAAGATATGAATTTTGTTAGCTATGCCTGGGTGACAAAACATCATATACTGCCATGCTAATATAACCCATCTTGCCATGTTGATATAAACTATCTTATTTTAGTGCACATAAAAAGCAGTAATGCAAGACATATAATTATATACTCCGTACTTAAGACTTCTACAGATTTATGAGTCGTCTATAATGTTTCCTCGATACTTCGTCTAGATGTAATGTCGAGGAACCTAGTGAAATAAGCAACGAATTATCACCAAGTTCCAATAGTTACTACATAGATGCTAGAAGGGTAAAATACCCTTTTATTCACTCAAAGAAATAATAACAGATGGTCCCCTCTTGGGCTTACAGGAAAGTCTACACTTGGGGTTTTAAATCAGGATAAGAAATTAATCTAATATTAAACTAAATATGCTTAGCCAAAGCTAGATACAAATACCTAAAGTAGTTGGCCCTTAATTTAAACTAGCCAGCGATTATCAACAGCTGAGTACAATATGACCAAGCGAAATAAATTCAAGAACAAAGTAGCCGGAAGGCAAAAATGCACCACTAAGAACCTCCTAAGCACTCTTTCGAAGTAAGTTGAACTTCCTTTAAATATTTCTTGTTGCGATTCTAAAAACTCATTCTGGTAGTGAGTTGTAAGTGGGAAACAAGAATTGAAAGGAAATGGTTTCAAAATTAAAAATAACTGTTATAAAATTAAAATACACTTTACAAGTCATGAATGGCATATTAAGACAGTTTATGCATACACTAATACGAAGATGAGGGACCTTGAGCAAAACTGATTCAGCAGAAAATTTCATGCAGTTAACTGCAAACCCAAATCTCTGCACTGTAATGAGAAAAGAAATGGAAATAAATCCACTTACTAATTTGAAGCCATTCTTTAGAAATTTTGTTGATTCCAGCACCAAGCAAGGTATAGCAGTAATCATCAATGCCATATGAGTTTAAATTCAACTTCTGTAACCCAATATCTGCATATGCATTGCACTAATATGCCAAATACTATTTCTTGGAGTTCTAGTAATAAATCTGGTGACAGTTTAGTTTCAATGTTTCAAGTAACAAGCATGGTTTACAAGTAGTCATCACAATGGCATACAGTTTTTCAGTTTCTCAGCCAACGATAGTAGCATTGAGTCCGGAAGTGGCCTACATAATGATTACCACTAGCCAGTTTACATCAATCTCATCACTAAAAACATATAGTTTGTACACTTACCATGTGATCTTTTTAAGTATTTTATGTTAAGAGACTAAATATGTATTCTGACGTGACTTAGTTCAACACGATTCCTTCATGATGCATACCTTTCCCACCAGTATATATTTTTTAATTTTAGATTACTGTTCTTAACATTAAAGATAATAATATACAATATCCACTCATTTAAGAGAGATTTACAATTTGTCCTTACTCAAAAAGGGGGAAGTTGACAGTTAAAGTTTCCCAATGATATTTTATTTTTTATTTTTCTGATCAAATGTAATTTTATCACTACAAAATGCAAAGCAGTAACTAAAAACACCATAAAAATTTAATTATCTTATTTATTACAGTTAAAGAAATGAAAGAAATATATATACAGGAAATAGATATCAAACTTTTTGATTAGGTAATTTTTATTTAAAAAAAGTCTCCAACTCTAGGGAAAGGTTTCATTCTGTAATACAAATTTATAACAATATAATCAATCATTCAAAACAAATGTTACTTTTTGAAGTGTTTCAAAATAAAATCAACTCATTTAGAATCACACTGGATTTTCATTCAATTAATACATTTATTATAATGAACAACTGCATAATGTAATGAATTTTTAACTAAATTATTTATTTTTGAAGAGTACAATCCTTAAGACATTAAGATGTGTAAAAGAACAAATATATTTCTAAAGACAAAAAATGAAGAACAGCATTAACAGGTGAAAAAAAAGAGCTAGGAGTTAATAATACTATCTGATACGGGATTAATACACAACTTTATCTAAGAGAAACAAACATTACAGTAACTGTACATTTACTTTCTGCTTAGATTAGGTTGGCTTATTTGATTAACAAAGCACTCTAGGCTTATCTTCTTAAGAAAAGAGATATTTTCATGGAAGACACTATAAGGGAAACTGGCTCGTATATACATACAGAAAAACACAAAAATGCCCATACAGACAGTCAGTTTGATGGGATTACAAACCCAAACTGAACTACTAAGGTTTAGAAACTTTACCACTGAGTTGTTGGTGGGCCACACTTTCCTTTTAGAGAGGCAACTTTTGTTCATCGTGTATCACTTAAAATTAAATAATTTATTATCTGGAAAGACTTGCCTCCTTCCTCCTTTAAGCTTCCCTGACTCTTCAGAAAAAGTTAAAATTTTTCTTAACAGTTTTGCTACAAGTATGTTTTTCCCTGACCATTCCAATTTCTACGATTTTCCAGGGAAGAAGGAGCCATAAGATTCCAATTAAAGAAACAGAAATATGTCAATCTATATACCTTACTTTCAATTATTGCTTATCACAACATTCTTAATTTTAAATCCAGTTAAAGAAAAGCCTTTCACTATTCAAAACATAACAGCTTACTGAATAGCTTTTATAAAGCATAATTTAATATCTATCTAATTTCACATCATACAATAAACAACTGCCTACAAGTATAATATGAGTTACATAATACAGAAGTGCTGATTTTTGAATTTACTAATATCTTGTACTGGAAACTTATAAATTCGTGCAATAACTTCTAAATATTTTTAATGAAAACTAAAAATAATAAAATATATTGAAATAAAAAATATTTTTAAAGCATACTAATAATGGGATTTGAAATTAACAGGGGAAAAAACATTTTATAAAAATTAAGACTCACCATCTGGCTTCAATATCTGTTTCAAATAGTTCAAATCCTGAATACAAATTTTCTGCTCTCAATAACAAGCTGCAAATCACAGATGACCCAAACTGAAAATATAACAAGGCAAGTGCTTACAAAAACATGTACTTCATAGTAAAACATAATGACAACTTTGGTTTATCCTGTATCATTTAAAATATGAATATTTTATTAGAGAAGACTGACCTCCCTCCCACCTTTATTCCCTAACTCATTAGAAAAATTTAAAACTTAAAACTTCTGTTAATAGTATATAAAATTATAAGAATCAGTTATTCAATCAAATCAGCCTAGAAAATGAAAGAAAATCTTATATTAGTAATTGGCAATTTGACTTAAATATTTTCACAAAATGTTACAATTATTGTACACTATTCAAATCTTTTTGATGCAGTTAGTGGCGTACAATACATAAAAACAATACAATAAAATAATCAATACAGATTCATTTTCTAACTGTTTAATAGCAATCTTGAGACTAAATGAAATTTCTTTGTTTTGAAATGCTTCTTTGTTTGTCTCCCAAAATTCTAATATACAGAGAAACAAGAGAAATTTAATAAAATAATAGCTCACCTTATTTTTTAATGCAGTTATAAAATTGCTCTTCTCTTTACCACTACCAGAAGGTGGTTCTGAGGATGCACCATTTTTTAAGGCTTCACCAATAAGTACCATATCTGATATTGATAGTTCTTGGATAGTATCACATATCATTTTGCAGTGCTGTTCTAATACATGATCATTCTGATCTTTCTTTAAAACCAGTGGCAAATATCGAAACAGGGCAATCAAACAATGAAGTTGTTGTTCCTGCATGAAATACATTCATAAAAATGTAAAATATAATTCAAATGAAGCATTTCACACAATTATATCAAAAATCAATTTATAATTTCTCAAAAAAATTGGAAAAATTGTACATCATTTAAAAGATATCTTGATTTTTAGCTAACATTTAACTGAATGAAATGCTGCAAGACTTTTAAGTTAATTAATATCCTTGTTTTCTTACTTACCTCCTATACTAGGCCATTGTCTATTCCAGTAACCCAAAAAAAGAATACTCTACCTATTATTACTTATATCACAGTGAACTAGACTCACAAAATGTCAGAGTACATTTAACACCTAGACTTGAAACATGGTTTCAGATCAGTAGCTTAAGTACACTCCCTACCAAATGAAAGATCTACAGTATGATATTAGCTGACAAAAACTATAAATGATCCCACCACAGCAGATTATTATAATAGCCACAGCAAACCAATGGATGTTTGAGAATTCTTATTTCCACAAACTTCAATTGATATGCTTTGGGACTTAAACATTCCTATCTTCAGCTTAGCTCACATGTAGTGTGTAGGGTTTATATTTATTTTAACTAACATTTATTTTAAGCTATCTTTCCTGTCAAGCCTTTACTTTCCCCTAGAATTGCCAATGCCAGAGTATGTAAATCATAGTAGAACGTGCAGAGTATTCAAATTTTAGCAGAAGTAATTTGAGTTAAATAGAAGGGAAACGAGATTGTAGGTGTGCTTCTTGAATCACGAGCGTGAAGGTTGCTTGGTAGAAAGTTTAAGAACCGCGCGTTTCGGCCTGTGTGCCTATTTCGACAGTTCGTTGAATCTTTCAAATTCTTAATCAGAAAGTTTGCTGAATCTCAGCTGTATCTTAGAATGCGGTTAGTTACGATTATAGAGCCTCGTAGGTAGCAACTTCGCTATTTATTTCATCTTGTCATTTATTTTTTGTTGTACTTTTCTATTTTTGTTACACCGCCGGGTCGGCGTAGTTTGTAAGCGTCAAGTGAACGCATCTGCTATTTCTAGAGTGGAATAAAAAGGGAGTTAAACCCTTCTTAAGAGTTTGTGTAATTTCCATTCATAGCAGTCACTACTACTGTTGCGGACAAGTTGGGGCCGCGCAACATCATAAGTGTTTTCAGTTCACTATGGCTTGTAAATAATGCAACATTTTACAATTGCATTTTCAAAATACTGTGTTGCATACATTAAGATTACCACATAAAAATATGGCTGGTTTACAGAAAAGTCATGACTTATTCAGTCTCTAGACTTAACATTTTTAATTTCATTACTACAATACTTCAGTTACAAAACAAAATGTCCATGGTCTGATGCTATCTGACTGAAACTACTCACATAGGTAGAAGCCATTCAACATAACAATCTATAATATTAACAAGTTACTAACTTCTCATTTCAATGTTACTTTATATTTATCTTTATTCAAAGTGCTTTTTTTAGGGGGGAAAAATGTATCCCAAACATTTCACTTATCAAATGATTTAATCATGTCTATTAAGAAGGAATTTGTTCTTTATGTTTTCACTATTAACATAATAACATTAATTATTGTTTTCGATAAAAATTATTATTATTTAATTTCATATTTAGTTCTGACTAACAAATGTTCATCTCTTGATTTTTTAACATTCCTGTTACACCCCTTTCTTATTTTTATTAATTTATTTACTTGTATGAAAAACAGCACATGGAAGAGGTAAGTATTTAACTGTACAATATCAGGACTGTGATGCAGTGCCTTAGCCAGAACTTCAACCCCGGACATCTCGAATTCCCATCAAGTATGCTTCCAATTACACCATGAAGGCATGAGGAAAGGAGGGAGAAAATACCTTATATAATCCCCCTTTCAAAGGGCGACTGGGGATAAGGAGACCCAATTGCCAAATACTGGTGGTGACGAATTATCGTCCACTACCCTTTTAATTTGGGCGCCACTCCTAGAGTCATTAGGTTTTTTTATGCAGGAGATGTGACAAATGTGCAAGTTTTTCACTGGAACTCAAAGCCTGGACCTCTCAAGTACGCGTTGAGTATGCTTCCAATTGTACCACAAAGGCATGCAGAAAGGAAGGAAAAATATCATCAGCAGTCTTGTAAAAAAACAATAAAAGCTAGACACCAGTTCCTAACTATCCTTTACTTCAGATTCAACAAATGGCCTTGCATTTAGATAATCCATTCAAAAATAGCTTATGTAAAATTTTGCTAAACATTGATATTTTATTCTTATTTCAAGGATGCATTACGTTGACCTATTACAGGTAGCCAGGTAGCTGCCGTCCAGTATCGTGGTTAGTGATGCTTACTGTCATACCGATAGGCTCGACTGTGCTGCCATTCACAAATTGTAAAATGTATTAAACTGCATATGCCATCTTTGGTCATTACGACTATCATCCATAACTGAAAAGTCCCAATCACACACAGAACACAACACGATGTGTTTTTTTTTTTTTTTTTAAACACGTTGACTGCCAACTAAGAGATATCTCGTAGATTGCATTCTTTTCTAGGAAGCCAAATAAGAGTTATCTCGTACTGTGTTTACTTGCCATTTTTGTGCAGCTATGATTAAACTCAGAATATATCAGTGCTAATATCGATAGATGGCTTCTGGGGGAAAAAAATATATCAATGCTGGCTTCCCAAAACAGAAAATTTATTTAAAAATGAACAAATATATAATTATAAAAATTAATAACATAATATGATTAAATCGATTTGGGTTCTTGGACCGGAATCCAAAAAGTGCCATGGCAGTCAATGTGTTAAAGATTTTGAAATAAGTCAATATAATTACTTTTCACTATAACAAACGTTTTAAAGAACTTTGTGTTTTTGAAAAGAAAATATTAAGCACATTCTCATATCAAAAATAATAAAAGCATGGGGTTCTCTTGTTATTATTAAACCAAGGATTCTCAAACAGTAAAGAATTTATCCAAGTTTTGATGTTTATCAATATTTTCTATGCTTTTTGTTGCTTAACTTGTATTTTAACAAGTTTTAAAATAATCTAGATCTAAATGAATTCATGTATTTTTGGGGTTTGGGAAAGGAAGGTTGAATGTTCTAACAATGGTGAAATGAAAGTAAGAGACTAATAAAAATAATCAAGATCTAAAATGAATTCATGTGTTTTTTTTGGGGGGGGTTGAAAAGGAAGATGGAATGTTCTAACAATGATGAAATGAAAGTAAGAGACTAATAAGATTGAGAACCACTGCATTAAACTATGAGATTCCTTTAGTTCATTAATTACTTTATAAGTTTTAAATAAAAGCTTCTTCAGTAAAAATTTTTTATTATTTTTTAATTTAGTTTAACGAATACATTATCAATCAAATTATTTAATTAAAAAACTATTTTTCAACAATACTCATGCTTCCACAATTTTGTTATGTCAGTTGTACTAAATGTTAAATTATGTTAAGATCTCAGATAAAGCTCTATTTAAAAGACTTTTTGGTCCTGATCTATCTGATAGCACAAATAGTAAAATTTTGAGTATTAATTTGTTCACTTGATGAAGATATGCATGAAAATTCGTTTTAACATTAAATTTTAAAAAATATTATCCAATTTTGACATCATCACTTCACCACGTGGTATTGCCATCCTTAGTGAGTGTTTGTGCAAATTTTGAGCTCAATAGCTTATCAGAGTTTAAAAATGGAAGCCGAAGGTTTAGAATGTAATGATATCATAACAATGAAATTATGTTTTCAAGCGACAGTCCCCTTGTGCTTCATACTGTAGTTTTTTTTTTTTTTTTTTTTTTTTTTTTTTTTTTTTTTAATGTAGAAATTTCTAAATGTCTTTTTATCATTCTTATTTTAAAAGGCCGTGAGGAGTTTGTTTTATAATCTGTGAATATTTCAAAATTTTGCAACCAATACATTTTTAGATGTTGAAATCTTAAAATGATGGACATCAAATTCCCCCCCCCAAAAAAAAATTGTACACTTTTCACAAATTCACTAAAAAATCTTAAATTGTGTTAAATTTTTATTTAAAAGTTACTCCTTCTTCATCTGATGACACAAACAGTAAAATCCTGAGATTTTCAGTTCATTCAGACATCAAGATTGGTGTACAAAATCATTTCAGCACTAAATTAAAAAAAAAAAAAGAGAGAGAGAGAGAGACAGAGAGGCTTCATTGTACTGCCATTTACAATTACAGCGTGCCCAAAAATTGAACTTCACAGCTTACCAGGAAGAAGTTTAAAAACTGATAATGTTTTAACCATAACGACAAACACCACGAGTGAGCTCTGTAAAAGCTTTTGGATGGTCCCATAGCTTAACTATGGGATTACAGTTTAGAATAGCATTATTAGCTAAACTCACATTTACTAAAATATGGCCTGAACAGGTTATTAAATTCATTAAAAAAATTTAATCAAGAAAAAAACTAATTACACATTCACTTTACTTCAATATTTGATTCAAATGATTTTGCACAATATTTGAAAGCATCAGCATCGATTATGAATAACATGATACAGTCAAAAGTCGTTAATCCGGACTCGTCGGGACTTCGGCGATTCCGGATTATCGATTTTTCCGGATTATAGATCATCAGTTTAAATCTGGTAAGATGGCATGCAGAAATTACAAAATTAAAAATATGAAACCGTAATTTATGAAATAAAGAACAATTATGATCTAAAGGGTATCAAAATTTACAAAAAGAAAAAGCTTAATATTTATTTGTTTACTTTATTAAACATTTCCTTCAATGTAAGTTGCTTCATTTCATGTGATAATACTTTCTCTTTAATTCTATTAAACAGACATAATTTCTTGTTTAGTTACAAAGTTCTGCTGTTCAAGTCCTATAATTGCTGTGTTGAGAATACCGACTAATTTGTCAATCGAAATGTTTTTGTTTTCAATAACCTCTGGGTCACTTTCTTCACTATCGGAAGCGAATTATAATGACGAGGAACTTGATTTAAATCATATCAAAGACCGATATCATCGAGATGAAATACTACACTTAGTACCGAATTATAAACCAAATAAAATAAAAACATCAGCTCTGAAGATAAGGATAGTGCTGACAGATCAACTTCCAATCCGCAGCGTGAAATTGATAAACAGATTTCGGATTTCAAAACATACTTTCGCTTTGTAGATACAAATTACATATTAGTAAATATATATCGGAAATTCTATTTGACATAATCTTTCTAATCTATCATAATCTAATAATGACGTTTCTGCCCCCCCCTCTGCCGCAGAGCAGCGTGAAATTGATAAACAGATTTCGGATTTCAAAACATACTTTCGCTTTGTAGTAAATATATATCGGAAATTCTATTTGACATAATCGAAAGTTCAAGCTTACTTTTGTAAAATTGCTCTAACAGTCTGCAAAAAATAATAAGCCGAATCCAATTCGAAGATTAAGGAACAACGCAATCTGCAACATTAACTGAATTAGATAACTTTAGCTTAGCGTATAACTCCGTTACACATTAAACGCGCATGCGCACAAACATATTCGCAGCTGTAAGGGTCTTATGTGCTCTCGTAAACGCCTGTGCGCATGCGTAAATGCGACGCATGCGCAGAAAGTTTGTAGCTTTGAGGTCCGGATTATAGATCATTCCGGATTATGGGTGTCCGAATTAATGACTTTTGACTGTATATACAAGGAAGAGGTAAAAATAATTTTTAAATATCAAAAACATAATAATTTCAATATGAATAGAAATACCCAGGAAAAGTTATACAAATGCCTACCTTGTTAAATATTTTAAAAGCTCTCATGATTAAGGATCGACCTTTACGTATCATAGCAATGCTTGAAAAACTATCACCTGTAGAGTTATCACAAAATAAGCCATTAAATATGTTTTTGGTTAATTTTTCTATGGTCTTCCTATGTGGTTCGCTCTCATTATCTGGTTTAGCAAGGATTCTCCTTTCTTCATCTTCAATGTCCAAAAGATGGCTATAAAGCTTTTCAATGTCCAACAACAGGCGTCGATACCTCATAAGACTCTGATTGGTAACGACTCTCCCTTCATCATCTTCCAGAGGACGAGCAACTTTTATATCCAATACTCTTCTCGGAAAGTTCACACTAACAGCCTGGAGCTTTCCCAAAGATCCCTCAAATTGAGCTAAATAAAAATTTTAAAAAATATATATATAAATGAAATATTTTAAGTTCTGAAAATTCAAGTGTATATCTAGCACTTTTTAGCACTGATTTACTTTTTACTTTGCAATTTTGAATAATACATAAATTTTACTTTTTAATTTTCAATGAATTCCTAAACTTTTTTATGTCCTGTGAGAAGATTCTCACAGAGCATTGAAAATAAAATTAAGAGTGCACAGAATCTGATTACCATGTAAGTTGTATTATGGACAACCTGTTTAAAAACTGAATTCTTATTTCTCCAGCCAGAATAAGGTGCAGAATCTAAAATCTGAAGTATAATATTTAATCAAACAGTATTACTGAGGCATACAGTCTCTTAGTATGAAGAGGCCCATCAGTGGCAAGTGATAAAGTTTCTAAGCACTGGTTTGACCTTGGATCCAATCCTGGTGAACAGGTTGACTGCACCGTTAGTTTTCATGGTTTTCCCCATGCATAATGAGGATGTCAGTTTCCTTTAAAAATTAATAAAGGTAATAAATAAGTAATACCTCCATAAAGGTATCCCTCCCCACAGGCAGATAGCCCTCGAGTAGCTTTGCCTCAATCAATTACGGTAACCTAACTCTTCATATGACGTCTTCAATGCACAGTACTGGCAGATTTGTCTTAGTGATGAAGAAATCATGGATGTAATAGCTGTGGAGGTTGTTCATTAGTTCTGCTCAGTTACTATAGCAACATACCAATCTTTGGTTACATACCAATCTTTGGTTACATCAACATATCAACTTTTGGTTGACCAGCGACTGTTTAATTCTTCGGATGGCTGTTTGATTTGTTTGGAGTTTCTTCCACATTTGAGAAATTATCAAATGATCAAAGCCAAAGAAAAACAATGACATCTTAGACTGTCCTGATTCAATATGCAAATATAAATATCATCAAAAATTTGTCGTATGAAAGCTATAAACACTTTGTACCAGCATTTAAATAAACATTCTCAAGCCTTTCAGAATGATGGCATTTTCAACAACTCCCTAATTAGCATGTAACATAACAATATACTGCCATCTACAACTGCAGTAGTTTTTAACCACTCAAATTCAACTACACATTTTGAAAACTGCTAATTTGCATTGCATGCATAACTTCTGGAAGCCACTATAGTTACAACCACACTATTCTTTTATGCTTTCTCCTATGCTCCTTTGCTTTTTCATTTGTGCTCAAGATTAACCCATCTTTACATAATGTTTCCTGTTCTAGATAATTCATGAAAATTATCATTAGGCATTAATTAACAGAAGCTACATCTTAATTTCGTCTTAATGAATGTAAAGAACAGCCCTCAGTCAGATTACAAGTATTCTCATTTAACATTCTGGGCACATAAGGAAATACATTTTCATTTCATAATCATTTATTTCAAATTTAATTTTTACATAACACTCATAACTGAGTGGTGTATGATAATAAATTACTAAATTTACATCATAATTGAGGCAATTCAGATCATTTTAGGGAAAGCTTATAACTTGGATGTCCACAAAATTGGATATCAAAGAAAATTAATGATAGAAACTTAGAGCCCAATGGAAAAAAAATTTTTAAAAATACAGCAAATTTCACAGAACATCCCAAAGACTCAGCACAATTGATAACTATAAGCGATTTCTATAATGAACTCTGTTAACAACACATAGATACAGTTGATGCAATTACTTTATTCATATATGTTTAATGACAACAGGATCAATCTAATGTGGAGATGAGTGGTTAAATCATTATGGGAAAGCACACTAGAATTGCTTGCTGCAGGAAGGATGCCTCCATGTAGGAGTTCCTGAAGGAAACCAGATAGTATTCATGGGGTAAAAAAAACATATGAAAACCACAGCTAGCCTATTCTTGCACTCTATAAGGTCTTTTTAGAAAAAGCTAAAGACCTTTAAAGAATCTCGACACAATAAAATACTTATAATATCAAAATTAGGCTTCAGGAGAGACATAGAATGATCTGTTTAGCAGCATCCAAGATTCACTGATGATGGACTTCTTATGATACCTTGAATTATTTTATATAAACGATACTCTTAATATATAATTTATTTAAAATTAAGCATTTAAATTCATATGATCACCCTTTCCATCCTTCTTTTGAATGCATCATAATTAATACAACATAAATTCTTCAACTCAACTATTTTCTGCAAATAACTGATAACCATTAAAGTAAGGCAGGGTTTATACATTCATCTTTAGAAGTATTTTAAATACAATAAAGTAAATAGTAAAGATTTATAAATAACTTAATTCAGTGTAAAAAATGCTTTACGTAACTTACTGGGAACATATGTTTTGCTTTCATGCTTAGTTGTTTCAGGCAGAATGAGTTCTGGAGCATCACCCCCACCTTTTGTTGCAGTTTCAGAATATTTTTTCTTACACTTCCTTGTTAACTGTGTCTGAAACGGAAAAAGAAGAAGAAGAACTTACTCAAAGATTTACCTTCAAGTAATACAAAGCACACAGTAATCATTAAAAAATTAAAAACAGATAAAAATCAACAAATTCAATGCTTGTTCATAATCTGCTTCACATAACATGGTGTGTTAATTTATATGCTTTGTTTATGTTTTCATACAGATTTAGAATGATAAAGGCATATCCCAAAATTAAAGCCTTAGGGTTCCTTCGAATACTTAGAAAGTCTATGCCCACCAAATTCAGAATATTATTAACTGTATATTTGGTAAAGAATTGTGAAGTGACAACAGTTTAACATAAATGAAATTGCTATGCCTGATGTGCTACTAGGTAGGTAATGCACTCAACAATTTTTGTCTAATCCGCATCTAACTGATAAAATCATTTCCAACACAGCTCACTGCTTCAATGGGATAAGCACCCCAGCAGCAAGGCTAAATCTATCTTGATGTATACCAAGCAAATTTTCCCACTAAAAATAAAGCTAAATGCATTCTTTGGGGGGTTGAAATGCAGTGAGTGCAATATACCGGGTGTCTCAAAAATGTAGTGACAAACCTTATGGAAGGTAGGGCACATCAAAGATTGAGAAATGCATAGCAACCCACGACTGGAAATGTCTGGGGTAAGAGATGAGACACAAGAGATTGATTAATTTGAAATATTTATTGGACATTATGAGTACATATGGCATACAAGTTGAATACAGCTCTAATGTTACAACAAATGCTCAAAGTTTGCACCATCAGACACCAAGCATGCCTGATACCAATGAAACATAGATTGCCAAACACAGTCAAAATCATTGGGAGTTGCTTTGATTGTAGCAGCACAGACAACACCATCAGATCAATTTCAGGCTCCTCGGGACTACAGAAAAAAATCGAGGCTCAATAAATCAGGCAAGCATGGGGCTCGGGGAATTGGTCCATCAATGTGGGAATGACCTGTTCAAATGCCTACAAATGGCTAGTCCAAAATAAGCAGCTATCCAATCATGTTGGAACCACATGTTGCGACTCACATTTGCTGGATCATCATCAAGTAAGCCAGGAAGAACCTGCTCCAGAATGATCCACTAATTTGTGGCGGTCATGTGGGACTAAGGGCGGACTAAGCAATCACCGACCTAACCTGCCCAGACCTTTATTGCGATGCGATGTTGTGCCTTGTGGTGGTACCCAACATCGTGGAGTTACATTTGAAATATGGATGAATTAGATGAAAATTTTACTACAGTAATACCTTGGTATATATTATTTAACCATTCTAGATCCTTGATGTATACCACGCAAATTCGTTCAATAAAAATAAAGCAAAATGCAGTTTTAGAGGGGGAAATCCTATTACTATTACCATTTAATACTAAAATCAAAATGCTGTGGTTGAAATACACAGGGTGTCTTAAAAATATAGTGACAAACAATTGTGCACATACATTGTGCTAACTGAATTTGCCATCCCTATTGAATGTGACCTCTTCTTCAGTGGACATAAGCTGAAAAATTCACATCTTGGGCACTTTGTTGCAGATACCATTGTGTGAAATGCACATGAGCAGGATGATCACCGAAGAGTAGTAACTGAACCATTTGGAGATGAAAGGTATATAAGGACTCAGAGTTTAAAACATGCCACACATTGCAAGACACTCTTAAGGCAGAGGGAATGGTATGTATGTTAGTGTTGGAATTAATGCCCACGGCATCCAACCCACTTCCTTCTATAACGACTGACTGCATTGATCGTGGCCTATTATTTCTTAATGACCTGTACCTTCACAAATTTCAACATACCTATGCAAACATATTCTGGTGTAATTGATGTCTGTCTGGGAAGTATTCCTAATAGAGTCGCTCAGCAGCTCGGCCATTGCCCTCAGGTATTCTATACACTAAGCACATGTCTGCAAGCTCACTATTCGTTATACCGTTCCATACTTTTCGTATACTAGCTAGTGCTCGAACGACGAAACCCTCAATTTCCCCTCCACTGCTTTCATGCAGAGCACCACCTAGTAGCATATGACGACGTTTCTGGTCATGGGTTGTTATGCAATTCTCAATCCTTATTTGTGCCCTACCTTTCCTAAAAGGCTGTCGCTACATTTTATAAACACCTCGCATATTGTACATATATGAAGCATTGCACATGACACTGTATACATAATTTTTGTTTCTGTTATCTAGATCAAAAGCAAATTTTGCAACATACTCCAATATTTCTAACCTTTTGAAATCGATTTCACCCCTTTCAAAATATCAATTTAATATAGCATCTTTGCTTTCCACAATCATAGATACCATACAGTATTCTGATATGCAATAGCCAAGCTTCAGATATGCATACAATCTTCATATTTTTCAACAATCCCTTTTTTAACTCCCGTGGTGATCCTAACAACTTTCTTTGTTAGGAAAGGTTTCTTTGTCTCATTATATGACATGTCTTGTTAACTTTCTTGAAAGTCACTGTCAATGAACTTATAAAATATTTCAGTTGAAAAAACACAAAATCATTTGAAAATTAAATTATAGCACACATTGTTTACTAAACAGGTGTACTGACACTCATGGGCAGATTGATGTTTAGTGTTCAGTTGATTAAGGACACTAAGTCTATCTGCCTAAGGGCAAGGATGCCTTCATGGAGGACTTTCTAAGAGAAAACTGGCTCGTATAAACATTAGACATGGAAAAACCATGAAAAGACACATGCAGCCAAACTGTTCGCTTGGTACTGAACTCAAGTCAGAACTCAATTATCTCAAAAGAGGTAACAAGGATAGTGCATCCAATCATGGCTCATTGAACACAAGTTGTATTTCAAACAAACATTTACATGTCTAAAACGTATATTCAGGTATCATTGCATTTTATTTTTGGTGAATGCTGGCCATGGGAAAGCCAAAATGATGTTATAATTTACTTACATTAAAAAGCTTATATCATTAATGCATCATCAAATGCACTAAAATGGCAAAAAATTAATCTCCCCCCCCCAAAAAAAAATAAATGTATTTCAACTTCTACAAAAGATGGGCTAAGATTTGTTTCTATGACAACAGAAGCAGTAGACATTTTATTATTTTATAGGTGTTCTTGTACATGAAAATTTATTTTAAAATCATATAATAATTATTTTTTAAGCATATGAGGTCACCTGACTAAGATCATGGACCTTATAAGAAATAGACGAACCCAAATGGCTTTTCTCCTTCTTTTGACGCATTTCCGGTTGTCAACCTTGATCACATCCGGAGGAGTAGAAACTTACAATAGTTGGCAGCTATTGCAGTGTGTTAATTGTCAAGAAAAAGTTGGTTGTAGCACCTCATTTCCCAAATTAGAATTTTTAGTTATTTTTATTTTTAAAACTGAGATTGATTTTAAAAAATTTAGCATATTTATCAAGCATAATTAACGTTTCAAATAATTATAAAGCTGTTGCACGCTTTCAGGCTTGGCTATTTTTTTAGCTTTTCCTATGCTGTAAGGAAATTTGTTACTACTTTTTTTCGAAAATAATATTTATAATCTAAACTAATAGAAAATTTCAAACAAAGAATTTTCTCTTATAACTTTTATGCTTTTTATTGGTGTAAATAAGTAAAAAATACTAAAATACCTAAAAATGAATTTTTTAAAGTTTTTGCTTAAAATTCTAAGTTGTGCTGCTTTTCTAAGATTATAGGTGAATATCATAGCATATTTTTTATAAAGGAGTTTTATTTGAATTATGTTTCACAATACATCATAATGATAAACACTTTTAATACCTTAATAATTTTTATACATTATTCTAATGTCACATTGTAAACTGTAATAATTGATTGTGCTAACATTTTATAGTGCTTATTTTTTTAAATTTAATTCTAGTTCTGCGTAAGAGTTTTTTATTTACTGTGAATTTAATTTATTAGCCCAATCGAGAAAGGCTATTAGTTTCGAAACGGCATTTTGCTCTGTTTCATTATAAATGTCCGTTTCACTTTGCAAATTGTTGCCACCAAATATTATGTCCTTGTATTATATTTAAAGAAGTTTAATAATAATAATCTGCATGAATACATGTATGCTTCTCGCATTGGGAAAAAGGGACGGTATCTAGAGCCATCAAATTTTGAACAACGTTATCCCCCCCCCGAACAGCCAAATTTGTTTTAATCCATTTCATATTTTGTAAAATTTTAATGAATTTTTGATTAAGAAACTCAATGAGTTCAAAGCAAGCAACGGCAACACTGTACGGAAAATAACATTTTTATCTCCAGCACGGAATTTCTAAGATATCCTGTTTTCAAATATTTTGTGATACTGCTGTTGAAATGAATTTTGTGTGGTTTACATGCGAAGAACATGATATTCAATAAATAGAGGTAACAACACAAAGCGTTAAAAAAACGTTCCTTTGAGCGTTTGCGAAGAACATGATATTCAATAAATAGAGGTAACACACAAAGCGTTAAAAAAACGTTCCTTTGAGCGTAATATAAAATCTGAGTGCTTCCAGATTTTATTTATTTATTTTGATTACACTGAGAAAAGTTTATGCTCTGAATTTTATGAATTATTAAAATAAATAAACATCATATGATGTTAATAATCATATGATCAAATAAATGATCATCTTGTAATGTTACAATAATTTTATAAACCACTTCCTGAAAATGCACATAAAATTTAAAAATATATATATCAGATCTTGTTTAACTTTGCTTTATTTGTTTCAAAGCTTCAGGTACTATCATTCTTATTTAATTTTACTTTATTTGTAATCAAAAGTAAGTTCATAAATTTTGTGTTTACAGTTTTTACTGTTTTACCAAAGTAAAGATGTTTATACAAGAATTACACGTGAAAAGAATGTGCCAAATGCAGTAAAAAGTGCTTTAAAGAGATATATTAATTCTTATTTGAAAAAACTGCAACTTTCATAATTTCATCACTTATATGCAACGTATGACATTTAATAATTAAAAACAATTATGTGATACGAACGCCATAGGTTTCAGTGTTAAAGTAAACCAGATCGTCCCTACTCTTTCTTGTGGACACGTGGGTGAGGCGCACTCCGCCCACTGGGTTAGTCTATCTCTTATAAGGTCCAAGACTAACATTCATTACCCTAACTACATTCCAATTTGAAATGACAGCATGGTAATTGATGGAATCTGATAATTTGCTCTCTCTTCTACTGCAAATTAATTACCTTAACAGGACTTTTTAATTAATGAATTTTAAGTATTGCTACTCAGCAAAAACACTATAAATATAAATGCCAATCCTTTTTTTGGATTCAAATACGAATCCATCAGTGCCATGGTAAATCTCAATTACTCATTATACTAATTATGATACCAATCCTTTTCAGTATACAACGCTGGATACCTTGCTTGGTCTCAACATATTTTAGCAACATGAGAAATTAATGGAGTGTTAAATAAAATTCACTCCAGAAAACTTTCTAAAGGTGATTAACTAAACAGAAAAAAGTACATACAAAAATTCAGTACAAACGTCAAGTAATCATCTTTCTATCATTAAGAAAACCCAAAACAAACATATGTATTACATACATAGTGTGTTTAACCGTTCGAGTGACACGTGTCTTTGCTGTTTTCCTGTCCCAAATTGCCAAGATTAGCTTTTTCGCTTGTCTTATTTTCCGATTAAAAATGCCATGGAGTACTATTGCCCTGTTTCCTGCTCTTATACGATAAGTTGTAATTCTTTCAATTCAATATTGTTCTGACACCTTTCTGAGCATAAGTACAGATATCAGTGTCTTTAAATAACATAAAAATATTGCAGCTTTGCAGCCTAGAGCTGCTGGCACTTTTCGAACGGCACAGAAGAAGTGCAAAATCGCTTTTTGTAACTCAAAGGATTAAGTAATTAATCCAATAAAATGAAAAACATAAAGTTATAAATCTTACAGTGTAATAATATGGAACTCAAAGGATTAAGTAATTAATCCAATAAAATGAAAAACATAAAGTTATAAATCTTACAGTGTAATAATAATCTTCTACATAAGGATTTTCAAATTTTAAGAGTAACATTTGGATTTTCACAAGCCATTCTTTCTCTTTTTGAGTCATCAATCCAGCATATTCATCTTCCGTTTGATTATCAACAGCATGAGAACCATCACCGTATTTATTATACGATGCAATGATATGCTGGCTCCTGAAATATATACATTTTTTACAAAAGCAAAAAAATATTTAAAATGCAATTAAAAGTGAAATTCAAATGCTCAAAATAAAACAGAAAAAAATCTTACTCATCATCTTGCCATGGTAATAATCTTACATTATTAGGATATCTTCCATTTACAACGGCAGGATATCTGGAAATAATTCTTACATTAATTCATATTTTAAAATCAAAGCAGACAGCATACAGAGCTTATTTACATAATATAAGGTTACAGAGGGCTTCTTCATACAATTCAATACTTAAAATGGCACTTCTTTACTCATTATAAAAGAAATTCTCAGAACATCAAGTTGTCGCAAGAAATTTAAAAATTGAAGACACTATTCACTATGCACAACTATACTGTGAGGGTTTCACCCTTTTATCTAACAGCTAAATGTGTAGGAACCTTGTGAACAGCTAAGCGACTAATTGCTTTAGTTCAGGAACAGAGACATAAAATTCGAAAAGGGTTCATTACCATTTACTTCTCAAAATAAGAGTTAAACAGTCGGTCCCTTTCCCAGGGTGCACAGCAAAATCTCCACTTGGGCTTGAATTCAAAGTAATAAGAACTAAGACTTAACTAAAGAGATATAGCCGAAGCTATCAAAATTCTAAGTACTTAGCCCTTAAACATTAAATACGCTAGTGAAGCTATAAAGGGCCAAGAGTATTAATAGCTTAGACAAAAGGCAAACGTGCACTAGTCAGAAACTCTGAGGCTGTCTCCCGAAGTCAGTAAAACTTCAATTTAAATACCGCTCTTCCTCATTCGCATTAAATGCAATTCTAAAAACACATTTTGGTAGGAAATTGTAAGCTGAAATTAAGGAGGACAGAAAAGGTGCTTTAACTATTTATAGAAAGGATAAACCTTACAATAGACACAATGCATTTACGAAGTTTTAAGACTTTTTAAAAAAATTAAATTTTAGTAATGTTCTAAATATGTCAGTTGCTTTTCTTACAACATCTTTCTGCTTACACACAGAATTTTCAATACAATTAATTGTTTGTAATCCGTGAATATCAACTTCCGTGAATATCAACTGTCCCAAATTTAAAACATAGAACAGCAGAGAATGGAAATAAAGTTTTGTTCAAGTGAAAAAAGCAATAAGGACTTTTGAAATGCCAAGCATTACCATAATTTAATGTTTTTCATTCCTACTAATTATTTCATGGTGTATATAAAGATGATGATGAAGAATCTAGATGGGGTTGCCTTTCATGACTTTGAACAGATGAGAATATCAGAAAAGCTCCATAATTGTTGCTAAAATACTGTTGTAAGTCTCTTCAGAGGTGATAAGCTTAATACTGTTCTGTGCATATGGGTTTGTAATAGACTGAATACACACAGCTTTGATGATAGGTTGATAAATTTTAACAACAGAAACATTTCAGAGTTCTGGAACATTCCACAAAAATTCCTGTATAGGTGTTCAGAGTACCACAGAGCACAATCATTGGTTATACGTCAACTACTAAAAACGCTAAACACAATGTAAGCAAAGCACATCTAAAAAGTGAAACTAACTCGGAGATATCTCAATACACTGACTCGTACTGAATTAACAACCCACAACAACTGCTATTCAGGGCAGATGCTATCTCCAGCCTTATGCAGTTTTCACTCAGCCGCTGACACATTTCCAGTGCTTTCTGCTTCGCGAAATTACTGGAAGGCATATAAGGGCCAAATTATGGTTAAAGCTACACAGAACATCAATCACATTTATTCAATTAAATAACTGTAATGGTGATACAGGAACTAGCTCAAAGTGTTGCCACACCTGGCAACAAAAAATAGTCACCATTGCCAGTTTGGCAATATCTCACCAATTTAGCAAGACAGTCATTTGCTCGGTGTTTAAATAGACTTGCCCCTCTTGCAAGCTTCACTCCTTTAGATTACACAGTACAAAAGAAATACAAAAATTTCATATATAATTTCACTAAAATTATGTATCTATGTACAAATTTCGTAATATCAATTAATACACTATAATTTAACTGTGTTGGCTTGACAAAATAGGTTGGGTGAGACATGAATCGTGCAGCAGAGACTTTTTCCTCATTCCTTTTCACTGTGCTCAACAATTTATGGCAGGAGAAAATTACTATCCAAGATAATATGTTAATCATCATTTGTAATTAACCGATTCACATTGTGTTTAATTTTGTGCATTTATATATTTATATATTGGTAAAAATATGAGCATTTCAAGGCTTAATTTTACTATATTTACACGATTTTATGATAAAGAAAGAAATAACTATTATTGGGCAATAACAGTTTTTATAATTATTTAATTGTATTTTATTGTATAATTTTCATTACAATGAATTCTAATATATAATAATTGTTATAATTGGTTATATAATTTTACAATAATAAATAATAATTATAATGGAACACTGAGACTAACTAAATTTCTTAATTAGTTACAATAATTATATGGTAAACGATTAATATAGTTATTTAATTAATTCTAATATAATATTAAGCTGCTCAGATGGTATAGTGGTTAGGGGAGCCTGATTGCGATACCAAAAGGCCCTGGTTCGAATTCCAGAGAAGACATAGATGTAAAATTGGCTGTCCCTTCATAGGAGGTAACAGTGGCTCGTATATTAGGTGCATCCACTTCTGGCCTTAGGCCATAATATTATAATAAATGATTATAATAAATGATTATTATAATTCTTTTTGATTTGTGGGGGGGGGACCAAATTTATTTTATAAAAAAAGAACAAGAATTATTCTTGCATAAAAGATCATAATATTGGCAAATATCACATTAAATCAACTATGATCAGGAAATACCCCGCTCAAATCGGTTAGATACCTGTTGATCTTTTTTTTTTTAACAAAGAATATTTCAGCTAAAAATGTAGTTCCACAATAAAACATTACATGCATTATTGCTTACTTTTTTTTTTTTAATTAAGCAATGAAATATGCACTGTTCATGTAACATTCGTACGTTATAGAGAACCCTTTTCAACATTTTTGGTTTCTAGCATTATACACCAATGAGAATCTTGCATTTATTTCTGCAAATACGAAATAAAGGTGTGAAATACAACTGACAGGATTGCCCCATGACACGGGGACTTCCTTCCTTCAATAATAAATTTCCTCCACCTGGAGAACAGCAAACTTTCACGTGATCTCCTCTGGCTACAGCACACGCTTCTGGCTGATGCTAGGTGTTTTGATAGAATGCCAGCCAAGGTTGCGATTGGTGCGGTCGAACTATACTCACATTACATTGTACAAAAAATTTTAGTAGAAGATGTTAGAAAAAACTTTTTCTTGTTTTGCTCCTTATACATTAAATGAACAGCAAAAATACAATTTCTGTATATTATAATTTAATACGAATGGCAGTACTTAATCCTGGTTTTTCACACTAACTGCAACTGCAGATGAAATTTGGCACTTTACTTATGGTTCTGAAACTATACAACAATCACCTGCTTGGGCAGAAGAAGGTTCACCACAGACACAGAAAATGCAGTTTAAAAAATATCAAGTTAAAGACTTTGTTGGTTACTTTTTTTAGGCTGAAAGGAATTTCTCTTCAGCTAGAAATGGTAAATTCCACATTATTTAAAACTTCTTATGGGAATTGCACACATTAGGCCTGAAAAAGTTCAATCACAAAACTGACTCCCACTACATGACAATCACAAATTTTTCTTGCTTTGTAGAACAAACAAACAAAAAAAAAAAAAAAAAAAAAAGTGACAGTTATAAGCCACTTAAGGAGAAATGTAACACTTCTAACCTTATTCACCAGAACTGGCACCAGCAGATTACTTCAATAAAACAAAATCTCATCTTAGAGGTTGCATGTGACTACCATTATTGCTGAAGAGCCAATCTCGCTCTTGCCCATGATGTGGGGTGAAATCTCAAATCGCATGCCAGTTTCATACTTGCATGGGAAAAGCAACATCTCATTGTTTATTTTTTTAAGTTCAACCAGCGTTACATTTTGAATATATATGCTGGTATTGGTGTGGATTGAAGGTTAGAAACTAGTTGTAAATGTTATGCGGTTTGGAATGGAAACAAAATTTCATTTTGTGCAAAGATCATACAGGAGTAACATTCTAAAATACACAATTGCAATAATATCACTGTAACTATCACACAATAAATTCATTTGTAATATATACAGTTTCATACAAAATAATGCATATATCCTTAGTTTGATTCTCTTTTAAATGCCAAGTGTCAGTATGTAATATGGAATTGCAGAAATAATTTTACCTCTAATGTCGATCATGCGCTGGCATGTAGACATAGTAATCAATGTGGTACACATAATAATTTTTTATTACCTCTTTTAAATCACATTTCAAGTCTGCATATGGGTACAATCTATTTCTATGAAATATCATTAACTATCAATACCTCACATGACCAGCATTAAAAGTGCCTATAGTACTGAAAAGATTTAATATTTGCAAAATTTACAGCAAAATTAGTTTCACAAAAGAATTAAGCATCTATCTGAACATGGCATGCATTATGTAGACTTCAAAGGTTTGTATAAGTTAAGGTTTCAACATTCGGTTTTGCACAAGCGTAGTCTTAAACACACAGCATATGTTTTTATCTTATGAAGGAGTTTATAACACAGTGATGTGAATACGAGATCTAAAAAAACTAAAAATATTTATTCAACTCATGCATAAAATGGGAAGTCAAGGATGACTCTGACAAGATTCAATGAACTATTACTGTTGTGTTTCTTGGATTTTGAAAACAAAAATGAGACCTGCCTTCTACAGAATTGCACACAATGGATCATTTTCTCACATATGGGATCCCACCATTTAAAAAAAAAAAAAAAAAAAAAAAAAAAAAACAAGATGTGTATTAATGGAAAAGTTTGCACTCATAGCGTTCTAAACAGAGATTCCGATAAAATGGGAGGTACAAAACAATAGTACACAATGACAAAAGATAAAACAAAACAGGTCTAATACTGATGGTTTATTAAATAAATAAGCATCAGTTATTTTAGAATGCCGCAGGAATGATTGGCATAATTTTGATGAGATATCCACCAACTCTCACGACTCAATTGCAGCCAAATTTCATGGTCAACGGGATAATATGCAATTAACAAATTTTCTTTATAATTAATTTTTAAACAAATAATAATGAAATCAACTAGATGCAGAATTAAACTAAGGCATTACACAGAAATAAACTGTTTTGGAAAGTTCATTTAAAAGAACCTCGAAAAAAAATTTTAATTTCGATGATAATATGAACATAAGTCATTATTTATACTCGTAAAATATCTATCTGAAAAGCGCAACTTTCATTATATGATTAATCAAGTACATAAAAAATATATTATTTATCCCCAGCTCCTTTATATGAACACCAAAGATTTTGTCCATTTTCAGGCAGTATCAGCTAAATGGATACATATTGTTAACCTATTTTGAGTATTCAAGAATTGTCCATTAATTGATGTTTTGATTACACTTACCTCAAAATACAGTATTTAGACCCTTTAAGTACATTTTTTTTTTTTCCCTTCTTCTACAGAATAAATTCAATATGTTAAGTTAACACATGCATGACTGTCTTATAATCAGACTAACAAGATCAAAAACCAAAACAAAATACTCACTTATACATGAGAGGATGTGGAACAGCTCTTGGAAAATTATGAAGCGTCGTTGCAGTTAAACTAGAACAGAAAAAATATTTTAAAGATATGGTTTACAACTGAAGTACAAAGTACACACTTCATTGCTTAAAACATTTCAATCTAAAATGTAGAAAATCAAATACTTGAAAATACTATTTTTTCTCCATTTTTGTTCAGTTTTATTCATAATATTTGCTTTAAATATGACTTGTACACTGTGCAAAAAAAGGAACAGTTTTAGATCTCCCGTTGGGATTTCAATGACTGATGGATTCGCGAAATTCATTTTGCATTTTTTCATGTCTCGAATGCGCGACTTACGGTGTGTACGAGGTTTATATATAGCATTGTTCTAATATAGGTATTTTGACACAAAATCTGACTTTTTCTGAAATGGCATGCCATGTTTTTTCCATAATTCGATTCTAAGACTCAAATTATGCCAAACAGCCAAATTTTGTAAAAAATCGCACAAGTAGTATTTAAAAAATTAGCTCTCAAAATTTTAGCTCCTCAATGTTAATTGAATTTGATACCTTTTTTTTTTTTTTTTTTTTTATTAATTTGCACATCTTTTATGGGTAATTTTAAAAATTTGCATTTTTAAATACTTTTTATAAATTTTTCAAAAAAAATTTTGTTTTATAACCTATAACATTTTTAACATCTTAAAGTAGATGTATTTCTAGGCACATCTGCAAAAAATTAACGGTTTTTTATTCAAAATTTTCTATGATGAGTTTACTTATTCGAGCATTTTGAAATTTGGCTTTTTTTTAAAGCGATAATAATGCCAAACATGGTTTTACGTACTTTGTTAAAATTATATGAAAGTATGAAAGACAACTTTTTTCGCCCACCTTCAATGAAAAAAGGAAAATAGGTTGCTATTAATTAAAAAAGTTCGCCAAGTAAATTATTCTGGGTAAAAACTGAAAAAAAAAAATACACCAAGATAAATTTTTGAATTTCTTCATAAATTTCCCACCAAATTTTACAAAATTAAATACTCAGGCATAATTTAAGTCATAGAAAAAGTCTGATTTTGTGTCAAAATACGTATGCTACAATGATGCTATATATAAATTAAATATGTATCGTAAGTTGTGTTTTTGAGACATGAAAAATGAAATTTGAATTTCGTCTATTGGCACAGTATAACAGGAGGTATAGAACTGTGGCCCCCCTTTTTTTGCACAGTGTACAAATATGAGGCCAAACAGAGAGAAACCATAAGAAGGCAAGAAAATTTTGAAAACTGAGTCAAATTATAATATATCTGCATTACCATCAAATCAGACCCCTTTTCTGTTTATAAACCGATTCCATCTTGGGCTATACTTTGAATGCAAATGACCCTATGTCTAGCTTGTTCTGCAATCTGGTTGGAATGTTTCAAAATGGCAGCATTTCAATTTGGATTTCAGCCTCAGAAAAAAGGTCACAGAATGTTATAAAATTATAAGTTAAATGATGAACCACTGCAAGCTTAGATTTTATGAAAAACTGGTTACATTTTTAAGTGTGCATTTGCCGCAGTGAAGTAATTAACAGCTGAGGCCTTTTGCAATGAGCATCTTCATTTTACCAACCTTTAAAGATCACAAAATACCATGTTAACTGCCTGATGTGCGAAAACAAAATCTAGATGTAAAATATCTGATTGTAAATGGGGATCATCTGCACAGTCTTTATTGCACTCCAAACTTTCCTTAGTTCACTGACCTTGAAATTCAGGATCCGGCATAAGAATTATTTCTATGTCTAATGGTGACAGTTATAAATCAAACTCACCTACTACTCTCAAACAACAGATAGTACTAAGAAAGACTGCAATTAAAAAGACTGTAAATACTATTCAAACATGGTGCAAGCACTGGAATGCAGAAGACTACATTGCAAGAGTTGCAAATCAGATTCCATTCTGGTAAGCTTTCAAGGACCTAGTTCCTATTCAGATAAGCTTTTAAGTAAAAGTAACCAACCCTACACAGTCTGCCTTACCCTCTGGGGTATACATACTGACTTAGTATTTTACAATGGCAATAACACTCTGGGGAAACAATAACATGAGTCTGCCAGATTTCACAATCTTCCGCCGGGGTTCTGGCGGAAAGTTGTACAATATGATTGGACCAAGGGGGTACTGGCAGGAAGTCCTCAAGTTGGTGGTATCGGTAGCAGCCACAATCTGAATTCCGTGTAATTCCATCAGTTTGGGGCTGGCCCGTGTAGTACTGGCGGCGGCACTAATCAACAACCAAATAGATTGTCAGGCTTAAAATATGTAGCTATGCCCCTCCATGAGACCGAGAACCAGAAACCCAACCAGCTCGCGCCTGTGGGCCCAGGCGAGCTGGTTGGGTTTAGTGAAAACTTAAAATCTGTTCCATGTAAGTGGACTGATAAACATAAACTGACAAACGTACATCACAATAGGTGGTTTTTTTGGGCCTGTCTCCTGCTTGTGTTAGGCGTGGATCAAAACATGTAGTGCTCAGTTGCAGCAGAACATGAGATAGATGCATGTTACACAGTTTGCCTTTTGATCACCTTGGTATATACATATAAATACTGCTCATGTCTATTTAACAGTATTAATTTTAGAATAATCCAATAGACCTTTTTGATAATTGGTAGAATAATAAACTTGAACTGTTAGAGCTCAATCACGTAATTTATAAGATCTAATCTTACAACATTCATATCTCACCAAGTTAACACTTTGACAGCATCTCGAGAACTAACACAGTATTATACCCAGAACTTCCATTCAACAGAATCATATGCCACTCCAAACAAACTATACAAAAATGAGTCGCAAATCTTGGGGAGGGGGTGAAAAGAAGAAGTTCAGTTGTTATTTTATTAAAAAAGGCAGTCTCAATCTACTTCCCCCCTCCCCCAAAAAAGTTGAATGACAATTAATATTACAGATTTTGAAGATGACTGGAACAGCAAACAGTTTGGTCGAAGTTAAAAAATAAAATGGAGTTGGAAAGTAAAACCAGTAATTTCTGGAGATTCAATCTTTAGTATGTGTTCATAAAGAAAAAAAAAGATGAAGTCTTTTACACTTTGTGGGAGTACACCCAAAAGCAGAAAACTTTGCTCTGACTGAATATCTAGAAGAAAACCATTAAAAATGTTTATGATCGTGAAGAAGATGGCTATACATCTGATTGCCTTTAAAATCCAAAAGAGATCTGTTCAAAAACCATCAACCTAAGGCTGCTTTTTGCCAAATTTTAAATTGCTGTGTTTCTCTCCAATTTGGTCCTTTTTAATTACAGATTTTTCTCAGAACATTGAAAATTTCCAAAGAGAATCTCAGAAAATAATTGATTCTCAATTCAGGAAGTCCTGAATCTCAAGACAGCAAAATATTTAAGTAAAATTAGTAATAATCAGTAAAATCAATCACAATAAATTATCAGTTAGTACATGGCATTTCAACAGTCTCATCTTAAAGAAAATAAATCACTTCAGACATACTTTACATTTGGAGGAGTAAATCTCGGTGATAGATTTGGCAATGGAGGACCCCTTAATGGCAGTTGACCTAAAATTAAGAAAAAATAAGTAATCAAATGAAAAGATTTAATTCGTTCTAAAGATTTATTACAACTTTTTATGTAAACAACTAAATCAGGTATATTTATAAAATTAATTTAGTTTTAATTTTACAAAATAATCAATTTTTATGAACATTTAGCATAATTTTTATGTTTAATGCATCTAAAATTTAGAAAAGTATATATCCTTTAATCAACAAATGGACAATACAATTACATTTGTCAGCAAAAATTAATAGGGTTAACTGAGAAATATTAACTTAAAGTCCTCAAAACTCTATTAGACTTCCAATCTAGTTGTCACTCCATCTGAAAATGTATAACAGTCTTATGAAAATTTTAAATAAACCTTTTTAATATATACAGGGTTGCCACTCAAAGAGGAGAACGAAATTCCCTGACTTTTCCAGGTGTGTTTTGAGAAAATTCCAGTCTATCCGCATAGTGCATGTTGGCTGCACTGAGAGATAAATTAATTATGGTACCACTTGAAAACACAAAAATTTGCCAACTGCATATATATATAATCCCGAAAGCATTACTATTATAACTATAATAGGAGTTGTTTTCTCCACTGAAGATTGAGATTAGAATTTGCCCAATCTGGATTAAAAAATGAATTTTTTTTGCAGACATTTTGCAGCTAAACGAAAGAAAGAAATCTATTTAATATTTTAAAATAAATTCAGGTATTTTATATTTATTTAGCTGCATACATAAAGCAAAAATATGTGCATTAAATTTCGTGACAGTATGTCATCATACTGCTAGATTTAGTTTCAGAATTATGCCAGGAAATTTGTCTGAAATTTGAAAGTATTATTAACTAATAATAAATAATTTAGAGGAAAGAAAACATTAAATGCTATAAATAACATTAAAATGAAGTTAATTACTTAAAAATTGAATTACCAATAATCAATGATATTTGGCGAATATAGTCAGATTAACGATTAGCCTAAATGACTGATTCCTATTTTTATTTTACTGCAAAATGAAAAATAAAGCATTTACTAAAATAAAAAAAATAAATAATAATAATAATAATAATAATAAAGTTAAAAAGATTTTGCGGTAAAATCTTAGTCTTTGCCTTGGTACAATTTTGAAAAGTGCCGCTAACACCAAAAATGACCGTTTTACTGCCCAACACCTTCTTAAAAAGAGACAGAAAGAGATTGTTACTGCTTATCATAATGTCACCATATCCCATGTGTACTGTACATGGTGGTTAGAATAAAAAAAAAATATGTATTATTAAGGTAAAAAAACTTCTCTGCAATAGGAATGGCTCTGTCCCAACTTAGCTGCATATGTGCGAAATATCTGTCACCGAAGTTCGAACGTAAAGTTTATCAAGAGTACATAAAACGAATATCGTTTCAAACTTCTTTAAACTTGTAAGGTAAAGAAAATATTTTTTCACACGAGTAAATTAATTAATAGATTAGGTATTTTGAGCAAAAAAGTACGAAAATCTGAGTATAAATTATCGCGAAAGTCAAAGAACGTTTCTTCTTAACACATGCTCCACAATTTCCTATACACATTGCGAAGGGGGAAATTCTCGCCGTCAGGTTCTGTCGCGAAATCCCTTGGCGAGTTTTTCCCTCCGCTTTCTAGCAGCACTATAGCAAACTGGTTTACATTACGTCTATGAAACCTTTCTTTCTTTACATAGATGTTCTTACATTAGAACAGAGTACATGGGGACTATTTTAGCTTCCATGGTTATTAAGATTAAACAGATTTTGTTGTATACGAGAATGAGAAGATATTTTTTTAGTTCAACATGCACTGCACATGCGAGTCTTAGGATTCTCGAGGTTACTGGAAATCAAACTTGCCGGAAACTTGCCTTGCCTGTCTAAAAGGCAATCTGATTGAAGCTGCGAAAATTGGCTCTACGGCAGCCAAAGAACGTCTTCGCACCAGCTGCCCGAATGACGCTCATCCGATACATAATTCGCCAACAGAGTGATCGCTTCCAACGTTGGCGCAGAACTCGCTTTTTGGGAGGATCGCCATATGACATTCCCTGACTTTTCTGGACTAAAATATTTAAATTCCGTGACTTTTTTGGTCAATTTTCGAATTCCCCGACTTTTTCCAGTTTTCCCAGTAACGTGGCAACTCTGTATATATAAGACTGCCTTTAACAGAAGGCACATTTCACCACTAAAATTTACATATGATATATATATATATAAAAGACTGATTTTAATAGAAGGTGCAACTTGTGCATACAATCAAAACTTCACCACTTACAGTTACTGAGATAACATAACGTTGAATTTACAATTTAAAATGGGTTCATAGCCTGAGGCTGCACAATTTGGCCAAACTAAAGTGACTCAAACTTTAATTGTGCAATAAAATATAGGCGAGTAAATGGCTAATGCCAGAATGTTAACTGGCAGAGGTGATCAAAAGAAAGCTGTGAGGGTCACTGGAAAAATTTCTCTACCTAATTATTTAAAACCTTTGCTTTAAATGCTCATTCGCATCCTGGTGAGAGTCAGAGAAGCATTAGTACAGATCCAAGCCCTAACAATTTGTTAATTAACATAAAACAACTTCTAAAATCATTCTTTTCATATTTTGTACTCACTCAGAACCCTCAAAGGAAAAAAATAATTTTTACTCATAATAAAATTTTTACAGTCCAGCATTCTTATATCCAATAGGAATGCTATATGATATAGATACAAGCATGGTATTTGGAAGTAATCAGAAGTTTATGAATTTGCTTCGGGATCAACCTCATTACAGTTGAATGTTATATAACAAAATTCTGCTTAAGAAATAACAACTAATGATTAATCATTATAACCAATGAATTAAAGTGTTCCTTCTATCAAATTTCTAGTTCCATTTTCTGACAGCAAAATTTACTGAATGAATTAAGGAAGCCAGAGAGAGAGATAAACCAGTTGTGAGAAACCTGTATGTATCAAAAGAAATGGAAAGTGAAGAGAAAAGTTTTTAACTAATATTAGTTGGTTAAGGCTGCTAAAGCATTAAATACATTAGCAAAACTTACACAGTATAATAACTATTGGGTTGAAAGGAAAATCATGACACATTTTTTTTCCCTATGTTCTTCCCAGGTCATTTATTCATATAAGGAACAATGAGCAGTTAATAGTACATTGTCCTCTTTGCTAGATAACTGTTTGCTTTCTTTTTAACGGGCTTCGTAATTCCTCATTAACAAAAAAAACCTGGCTTTATTGGCAAAAAGCTGGACAAGGTGCTGATTTACAATCAGTCTCATTTGATTTGAAGGGTATACCACGAAATAAATTTTGAAAAGAGCAAAACAAGTGAAAATCTGATGGCACAAGATCATGCGAGTATGTTACATGTGACAACACTTTTCATCCATACTCCAGTAATTTTTGTCAATGATCAAACTTATGAGTGGTCTTGGTTCCAACCTCCTACCAATGACCCAAAAAATCATTTCAAATGTTTGCTGTCCCCAACCAGACAGTTTCAACGAATCTATCTTCCAGAAACTTCCTGAGCTCATTAATCATATAGGAACTGCATTTCATCCCAATAACACAAGACCACATACAAGTTTGATCACCTGACAAAAATTATTGGATTTTTGGATGAAACGTGTTGCCACGCATCATACTCACTTGATCTTGTGCCCTAATACTTTTCACATCCTTCATTTTCTTCAAAATTTCTTTCATAGTATAACATTCAATTCAGATGAAGCCATAAATCAGCACCTTGTTTACCTTTTCCAAATAAAAAACTAGGTTCTTTAGTAATAATGAGGATTAGTGAACCTCATTATTGTAAAAGAAAGCAAACGTTTATTGAACAAAATGGGCAATGTACTATCGACTGCTCATTGTTCCTTTTATAAATAACGGACCTTTGAAAAACATATGAAAAATAAGTCATGGATTTTCAGAAGACAACCCAATATAAGTCAGTCACAATGCTGTTCTGACAAAAGAGTGAATGTACAGTAAGCAGATTCACAAACATATTTGTTTACAAATAATAAATCACATATCTTGGTTTGTGAGTACAATTTATTTCGGAAATGTATTCACAATCCAAAGCACTTATATATCAAAATAAATTTTCCCATACGAAATAATGGAAATTCATTATTACCCTAAAAATAATCATATTAAACGCAAAAATAATCATATAAAAATTATTAAAAACATACAATACACGAATACAAAACATAATCCATAAAGTAAAATACATAACACAAATTAATCAGCATTTTACTTTTGAAATTGATCATGACTAACTACCTTAATCACTGCTCTCTGCTGATGCTTTTTATGTGCATGACTTTAACAACAACTATATCCAATGGCAGTTGTTTTGCCCCCCCCTTTTTTTTTGAGGGTTTTGCCAAAATGTGACATTGGATTATCATTATAGAGACTCATTGCGTGCACTGTTGCCCTGCTTTCTTACAAAATTTTGCAGTTTCTGACATTTTACCCATTTCTCTTAATCTTATTTGAATTAACCACTTGCGCTTAAAAGACATGCCACGCACGTTGAGATGCTTTTGTCTCAAACCGCGAGCGACTAACGCCACGTCGATAGGCATTTATGACAAAAATGAAAATAATGTGGTGCACACGTTGCCTAACAACGAGATTGTTTATTGAGTTACAGCTCTGGATTGCACTCGCAGATGTGGAGCAGCACAAATGAGACACTTTACCGCTTGTTATATTGTAGTGCACGGCACCGTAACCGTGAAGTTAAAAGCAGCGCAAGTGATTAAAAAAAATTTCCATCTTTTCCTTGTCAGATGATTATTAATTTTTCTTTCCATTGCTTTTATTTTCCACATTTTCTTTCTTAGAAGTCATAACTGTAGTACAGTAATTAAAGACCACACATGCAAGAAGAAATCACCAAAAGTTTCCAACCTTGATGAACATTCGGTGACATTTTGCTTTGATAGCTGCATAAGTGATCTGAACCCTATAACGTCACTGGCCCCAAATGTAACTAACAGCATTGAGAAATTGAAAGTACTCAAAATTTCTCGGTGGAAGGGTGAGAGAGCATCATATCTCAGTTTTCAGCTGAGTTTGGAGTATTGAGAGACATCCATGTGAACTTTGCTCTTTACATGCACTTTGCAGTGTATTGTTTAATATTCTTAGTAGTTTGAAGTAATAACTACTGATTATGCTCTGTCATGCTCAGAAGTGCTGTACGAGTATAACTGTGAATTGTTTCTTTTTGGGAAAATAAATTTTCTCAAGCTATCATCAGTTCTGTGTGCATTCAACCCATTATGAATCCATACACATGTAACAAATTTTGGCATCAGTTGGATTAAATGCCAGTGACAAAAGCGATGGAGAAGAAACTAAAAAAACTGTTCAGTCTTTGTTGCATTTACAGAAGAAATAAAAGTTAGCTCATCTGTTAAAGAGATTAATGCTGCTCAAGAAAAGATTGAAACAGGTCAAGAGGAAATAAAAAGAAAAATTATTCCCTTAATAAGAAGTTCAATTCTAAACAAGGCAGAATAAACAAGGTTGAAAATAAAGTTGGGAAAATTGGAGAAAGAACTACTGCTGTTGAACAACAAATCACTGATAGTTTTTGCTGCTGTCTCCAAGAAATCTGACGGCTTTGAGTAATCCATAGCAATAGCTGGACACAATTATGATGCGTTTAAATTTGTACTTATGTCCTTTTGACCCCCACTAAAGCTATTCAGATTAGATGGAAAGACCTCCTGCCAAGTGTACAAGACTCAATTCTCTACAGTGGCAAATGCAAATCAATGATATTCTGAAATAAAGTACTGCCATCTCAGTGCTTCTCTGAGTGCAGATGCAATGAATATCATTTAAATTCTTCCCGAAATTAGACTCTAGATTTCGAAAATCTATTCGGTACACAGGAGCTGCACTTTGGGAAGAAGTGTTTAAAAGAGCAATAATCGGTTTGTGTGCATTCAATACATTCTGAACCTGTACATATGCAACAATACCTTTCAAGAAGCCAATAAAGTAATGAAGTATTCAATAAAGTAATGAAGCATTCAATGCATTAAAACTTACCCATTCTGGGAATTGGATACTGCAGGAATGGTGCGTCAACTTTAACATTCTCTAGAAATACAAAAATATGCCAATAATGATCATCACATTTTTAGTTTAATTTACAATACATTAAAGGTACGTGCTTTGTTTATAGCTAACCATCTAAAATCTTACTGCCAGCTACTTAGTTTTTAAATACAGCCAAGCAACAACAGCTCAAATTTTCAGTGTACCTTTTCCGCTGATGTTATTTTAGGTGTGGTGTATTTAATTATGGCAAAGCACACTAGGGCTATCTGCCTAAGGGGAGGGATGCCTTCATGGAGGACTTTATAAGGGAAACTGGCTCGTATACACGTTACACATGGGGAAAACCCCGAAAACACCCATGCAGCCAGCCCGTTCGCGGGATTTGAACCTTGGATCGAACTACCAGTGTTCAGCAACTTTACCGCTCGGCCGTTGGTGGGCCGATGTTATTTTTAGCTCAATATTGATTAAATCAGAGTAGTAATTAAAATCACAGAAGTAACATCACTTGCTATTATAATTTACTATAACAGAATATCCCATTTAAAATTAAAATAGTTTTAACCTGGAAATCAACAAAAATTTTAATCTTTTAATCTGTAAATAAGCAAAAATGTATATAAACTATATTGAGAAATAATTCAAAACCAAGAATTTATATGACAAATGGCAGGGGGAGAAAGGAAAAAAGGATTCAAATTTTAACAGGGTTGCCACTCAAACAGGAGAATGAAATTCCCTGACTTTTCCAGGTTTTCCAGGTGTGTTTCAAGAAAATTCCAGTCTATCCGCGTAATGTACGTTGGCTGTGCTAAGAGGTAAATTAATTATGGTATTACTTGTATTGTGTAGCAAATTCACTTAATTATTCAATAAATCCCAGAGGACATTTATTCTTAATTATTCTTGGTATACTTTGTTTGATAATTTTGTTTAGTTTTCCACTTAAGAAACTTAATAAAATTTAAGATATATATATTGGATAACAAATGTATGTTTTATTTAATTATTACTCATGATCATCACCAGTTCAACACGAGGCTAATCCGGTCCTTATAAATCACAACGCAATGCTAATAGTTAGGTTAGATTTTAGGTAAATTTAATTTGTGTGAGGTATGTTCTTAAAAACCTTAACACTTGAAAACACAAATATAATTATAATAGTTTGTTGTTTTCTCCACTGAAGATTGAGATTAGAATCTTCCCAATCTGGAATAAAATAAGGCTTTTTTGCAGACATTCTGCAGCTAAACGAAAGAAGAGAAGTAATCTATTTTAATAAATTGAGATATTTTATATTTATTTGCAGCATACATAAGGAAAAAATATGTGCATTAAATTTCGTGATGGTATGTCATCATACTGCTATAATTAATTTCAGGATTATGCCAGAGAAAATTTCCTGAAATTTGGAAATATTATTTACTAATAATAAATAAATTTAGAGGGAAGAAGCAACATTAACTTATATGAATAACATAAAAATAATTACTTAAAAATTGAATTAGAATAATCATCTATATTTTAGCGAATATAGTTATATTACATGTCTAGCCTAGATGACTGATTACTATTTTTTTATTTTACTGCAAAATGGCAAGGTATTTATTAAGGAAAAAAAATGGTTTAAAAAGATTTTGCGGTAAAATTCTATGCTAAAAAATGCGGTAAGGCTTTGGCACGATTTTGAAAATTGTCGCCAAGACCAAAATGACCCGTTTACTGCGCATCAAGATGTCGCCAAATCCCATTATTATTCTAACCAAAGAACGTCTATGTAAAGAAGAAAAGGTTCCATACAAGTAAAATGCTATTACGCCGCCGCTAGAATGCGGAGGGAAAATTTGCCAAGGGATTTGGCGACGGAACCTGGCGGCCAGAATTTCCCTCTCCGCGATGTGTACAGGAAATTGAGAAACACGTGTTAAGAAGAAACGCTCTTTGACAAAAAGAAAACTACGAAAATCCGTTTTTAAATTATTGCGAAAAATCCAAGAAGAAACGTTTTATCAAAGGACGTTTCTTCTTGGATTTTTCGCAATAATTTTAAAAACGGATTTTCGTAGTTTTTTTTTTTTTTTTTTTTCCTCTGAAAATAACTAATCCATGAATTAATTTACTTGCGCCAAAAAATATTTTCTTTTCCTTTAGAGTTTAACCACTTGCGCTAAGACTAAACTTCACGGTTGCGGTGCCGTGCGCTACAATATAACAAGCGGTAAAGTGTCTCATTTACGCCGCTCCGCATCTGCGAGTGCAATCCAGAGCTGTAACTCGAGAAATAAACAATCTCGTTGTTAGGCGACGTGTGCACCACGTTATTTTCATTTTTGCGATAAATGCTTATCGACGTGGTGTTCACGTCGCTCGCGGTTTGAGACAAAAGCATCTTGACGTGCGTGGCACGTCTTTTTAGCGCAAGTGGTTAAAGAAATTTTAAACGATATTCATTTTATGAACTCTTGATAACGTGACCTTCGAACTTCGACACCGGTTTCGAGCTTTGGTGACAGATATATCAGACATGCACAGCTGTTTCCCTCTATGATGGAACGGAGCCACAGCCACGTCTGTTGCAGAGAGGTTTTCCTTCTTTACAATACATATTCTTTGATTCTAACCTCCATAGTACCATATACTAGGATTAAACCCATTTTGTTTTATACGAGAACAGGTACTTTCTTTAGTTCATGCACTGCACATGCGATTCTCGAGAATACTGGAAACCAAAAGTTGCTTTGCCTTTCTAAAAGACAATCAAATTGGAGCTGCGAAAATTGGCTCTATGCCAGCTACCCGAATGACACTCACGTGATGCATAATTCGCCAAAAAAGTTACCTCTTCCGACGTCGTCGCAAAAATCTCTTTTTTTTTTTTTGCGGGATCGTTGTATGAACTTCCCTGACTTTTCCAGATTTTGACAAAAATACTTAAATTCCCTGACTTTTCCCTGAATATTTTGGTCAATTTTCGAATTCCCTGACTTTTTCCCGGTTCTCCTGGTTTTCCAGGTAGCGTGGCAACCCTGTTTTAATGGTTGCTCAAAAGATTTCATTTAGCTTCATATGGCTTAACAGTATAGATTATCAATAGAAATGGAGAGGTGGAATTGCGAAACATTTTATACAATACTACATTAATATATGCTTAACAGCATAAAATGCACATTTAACAAACATTTAAATAACGTAAGAATGTTCCATATCTTCTGCATATTTGAAAAGTGAGAAAATATATAACGTAATTCTATAAAAATATTGAATGTTTTTATAATTAGATATATCATGAATTAAATGCATTTTTATTTTTAAAAAAGTAAGAAATATTTTTAAGAGCTATATGTATTGCTTCTAAAGAGCTTAGCTTGTTAATTAATAACAGACAAATTACATTTGAAAGATTAATATCTCACATTTTGCTGAATGGCAATGTACTCGAATGAAAAATGAAACAATGCATTTACAGTAGATGACATTTAAAGCAAATCAATACAAAATCATGTTTCGAGACTACCTCTTGGGCTAATAATGAAAGAAAGTATAACTGGCAAAATAAATTTTAGATAATGACTATTATCTTTCAAGTGACAAGATATCTAATACAAACATCTTGTCAGTCAAAATGCAGCAATAATACAGGAATGGGTCAAAATGCAAAGTTAATGACAATTTCTTGACATATTTTAGCTTCTGATTACTTTTTATGAAGCTTTTAGAAAGAGCAAATTGTATATGAACAAATGGCAGAGACCTGAACAACTCAAGCAGAATGTCCATACAGAAATTTGATTGTTACAAACTAGGAAGAGGTGCCAGACTACCAAACTCAAAAATTGAAAGACTTCATGAAAACTATCAATCAAAATTATTTTTTAATAATAATGATATATAAGAAAGTGATTATTTAAATGATTAACTAACTCAAAATAGCATCAAATTAATAATCCTATGAGGTCACTACTTGAACGCAAGTAGCACAAAATGTCGAAATATTACTAGGGCTGTTCAGAAAGTATCGAGACTGAATTTATTATGCAAAACAGGTTTTGAGTCAATCTCCTTCGAAATATGCTCCAATGGCAGTAACACACTTGGCCCAACGATGTTTCCAGTCCTCGAAACATTTTTGGAACTCCGACTTTGGGATGACCTGAAGCTGCTGCATCGAATTCTATTTTACAGTCTCAATGTCCTGAAACCAGTGTCCTTTTAAGGTGTTTTTGATCTTGGGAAAGAGGAAGAAATCTGGAGGTGACCTGTCCGGCGATTAGGGAGGATGTGGTACTTGGGTTGCTCCGTGTTTTGCCAGGAACTGCTGCACAAGATTGCTGGTGTGCGCTGGGGCTCTGTCATGATGAAGCATGCAGCTAGAGGACGAGCACAACACCGGTCGTTTTCTGCGAACAGCCTCTTAATCTCCTCATGTCGTCCAAGTAGAATTCCTTGTTCACTGTCTGGCCCTGGGGAGCGTACTCATGATGAACATTTCCATCTGCCTCGAAAAACACAAGCAACATGACTTTGATCTGGCTTCGCACATGCTGCGCTTTCTTTGGCTGAGGAGACCTGAGGCTTTTCCATTGTGACGACTGCTGCTTTGTTTCAGGATCATATCCGTAAATCCACGACTCATCCTCAGTGATGATGAGCTTCATGACACCGGATCGTCACTTGCACTTTGAAACAAATCAGATGAGATTGCCAGTCTTTGGAATTGCTGATCCTCAGTTAGGAGATGCGGCATAAGCTTTGCAGACACTCGGCGCATGTTCAAGTCCTTTCTCAAAATTTCATCACATGATCCTATGGAAACGCCACACTCCTGTGCAATTTCTCAGACTCTTAAACGACGATCAGAGCACACCACAGACTGCACTTGTGCAAACTTATCCTCATTGCGAGAGGTGGACGGGTATCCAGAACGGGAATCACTGTCCACCGATTTCCGACTCTCCTTGAATCGCCGGAACCACTCGAAAAACCTAGCACGACTCATCACCTCATCTCCAAATGCTGTTTACATCATCTCGTAGGTTTCGGTGCCCGTTTTACAAAGGAAAAATTGACGCAGATTCGCTGCTTCATGTTTTCAGACATTTTCTGTTTTCGACGAACGCACGCAAACACTCCACATGAAAGAAGTCAGTGTGACTGAACAGCACGCTGTATAGACCTGCCGGTGAAACATGTGCATGCATGATGTGCACAGTCCCACCGCTACGGGCTTTCTGGAATAAATAGAATAAATTTGGTCTCGATACTTTCTGAACAGCCCTCGTACGTACATATACATTTATTTATTAATTGTGCTTTTCATTTCAGTGAATAATACTTCAATCAACTTTGCACAATTGCTTACAACAGCAGCAAATTTTACTTTTATAAAAAGCAAGCATCATAATTTTAACCGAATTGCTTTCTTTTATTAGAAAAAGATTTTCAATAAATTTTTAGACACACATATGTTTTAAGAACATCAGTTCTACTTCATGGAAAATAAAAAAAATCACAATCACAAAAGGCACCTATCACAAATGTACTACATTTCCATAATCAAATAATTAAAGGAAAATCTTTGCAAACTCAACTGAGACAAAATATTAGCCACTTTTAAACCATGTGTCATAGTGGCTCAATAATGAAATAATTTCATTTTTTTTAAATGGTAAACTAAGGGGATAAAACGGGGTGACTTTAGAATCACAGGCCAAGCATTTAAAAAAAAAAAAAAGAGAGAAATATTAAGAATGACAGAAATATATTTTAAACTGCTATGGAAGAAGCAGAACTGAAAATCACGACTCTCCTGCCTAAGCTGAGACGGCAGTCAATAAAATGCATGTTTCAATGTAATAAAATAAAAGTGCTGACGTTGGAATAGATTTCACCCTTCATAAATTTTCATATCTTGCACATTTATTGTTAAGTACTATCATCCAAACTGGTTTATTAACATTAAAGTTACTGACGAACACCTCGATTCCTAGTTTCAGCCCACACTGCATTTCGATTTGCTTTTCCCAGAAGTCTAAGAACTTGGAATTTGCAGAAGCAGTCTGTATGCTTTAGAAATTTGTTTTAAAAAATAAACAAATATCCTATACTTAAGTTTACTAACAAAATATCCTATATTAAGTTTACTAAATGGGGGAGGGAACTACTGTTAAATTGTTACACAAATTTATAATACTAATGAAAAATGTGCTTACCAAGCATTGGCCTTTTCAAAGATCTAAGATGAGAATCTGAAACTCCACCTAAACCATTACTCTAAAAAGAAAAAAAAAAAAAAATCATAGTTATAATGAAAATTTAGAATTGAAATGAGAATTTGGTTGTTCATATATTAAAAACATAACAGAATGGGAATTTTTAAATCAAAAATAATAAACAGCAAAGCATCTCTGCTAGGACTGTTTCTTAATGTCCCAACATACTTCCACTGCTTCAATTACAGCGCAAGAATTAAACAATAACATAATTAGCAGATTTAATGATATTGAACTAAAAAATTCAGAATCTAACTTCGAGGTTATATATATAAAAAAAAAAAAAAGAAAGAAAGAAAGAAAGAAAGCCCTGTTTCGCTCATTATTAATTTTGGAAACTGTTTCTCTTTCTCAAAATTATAAAAGCCAGATTTTTTTCTAAGCACAGACAGCCACCTAGTGTGCCAAATTTTTGAAGAGCAACAGCTAAATAAAGGTCAATTATGCTCTGATTTATTATTATATTTAATTTACATAAAGTGCCAATTGCACTTATTGTCTAGAACACTGAAACTGCTGGAGCTAGGTTTGATAAAAATCAAAGTCATGTGGCGTTCCTGCTCCTTTCTAAAAACTGCACAGTTTAAATACATGAAATTCTCACCATAATTAAAAGAAAGTATTTACATAGGGATTTTATTCCCAAACTCAAGGAGTTCAAATATCAAGTTTCTTATCAAAAGTCATTTTTCAAATCAAACTTTTAGCATGTTGATTTTGGTCAATTATTATTCCTCCTTCCTATCAAATCTTTTAATACTTTATGTTAAATATTCAGTACCGTGAAGAACAAATATATTATGTTTGACAAATTTTTTAAACATAATAAAATTCTAGAGGAAACAATGCTTAAAATCCTAATTTTTAATAAAAGAACATTTAAAAGTAAACACATACGAAATTGTTCAAAATAAATTACCTGATTTCAACTAAACATGATTACATATCAATTATGGATGCATTAATTTGAAAACACCATACGGAAAAGAAAATCTTCAATTTATGTCTTCAAAGAAATGTAGATCAAGAAAATCACATTTTTCTTAATACAACAGCTTTTTCTTGAACTGCATCAGTTCAGCGGACACAGGACAGGTGAAAGTGAGGAGGTTACCACAATTTCACCAATAATTGCATAGGTATAGTCCCAGTACACAAACTGCACAACTTCAAATTTTGATGAACATCCCTGGAGATTATTCCAGGAACTCCCAACCCTCTTCTAAGAGCTCTTGAGGGAACTTTTGGCTGACCAGTCTTTTAAGTTCCCCCATTCCAAACAGGTACTCTACACTTACATAAAACCATGAATTCTCTGAGAATAAAAACTGGACCCAATGATACATGAGCAGGACTGCTAATCTCTATATTTATCTAGGAACTTGGGTGTTTCATACTTCGACCTCCTACTTGACTAGAATTAGTTTTTCCTTTGAAGGGATTTTAAAAACACTGCATATGTGTCACATTTGCCTGTAGTCTACATGATTTTCAAAAGAACAGAAAGATGTGCAAGTGTTCTGGAGATCACTGTACTGTTTCCACAGCAGCAACAGTGCCATCAAAAAGCACAGTGCTACCTACCGCCTCTGGACACAGTGCAAAAAGGCGTGGTGGAGCAATTAGGGCAAAAAAAAATTATTGTAATTTTGTTATTTTTTAATGTAACTGAAGCAAAATGCTAAACTGAAAGTAAAGGACATGATTATGAGGCCCAGCTTTCATAAAACCGCTCACATTTAGAGGATTAACATTGCACAAGATCAAAACATTGGCATGGCACGAAATTAAAACTGGCAGACATGCGAATGACAATAATTACCAACATATAATCCACACAATTAAGGAAATCTTGACAATGAATAAGAGAATCAATGCACATATTTCACTTACACAGAACTGTCACAATTATACAATTGACAATGCATAAGACTGATACCAGAAAAGGCCCAGCACTGCACAGAATTGATGACAGAAGAAACTGGTATCAGATCAATACAGCATAAGATCATAAATCCATATTAGCACAGCATAGATAAGAGCTATAGTTAGCAACAATGCATAATTAAGACAAAAAATTTGATTCAATTATTATTTAGTTAGGCATATTGCCTAGGATTGATAAAGGCATAGGATCCAGTCTTGGATCTAGCTGCCAAAAACCTTATATCTTCATATATTAATAATTTTACATTTATAGCATATAACAAAGAGTTAAAAGTATAACCACATAAATAAGGATACCATTTTAAATTTAAAAAAGCCTTACATTAGCAGTTCCTATAGGAGACATCATATTTGGCCGCATTAGAGGTGAATTAAGTCCAAGATGATTAAACACGTTTGGAGGGAAATTAAGCCTTCGATCAGAATGCATATGCCTCTCAACTTCCTCCCTCGTCAACATTCTATCTTTATTACTTTTGTTTTGGTTCTGGTTCAAAGTAGGAAACTGTGACGATGTTACAACATGATTGGTAAAGTTCTGATGATTAACACTATTTAACTGAGAGACTTGAGGCCATTTACTGCCAGGAGGTGCTTGAACACGCTCTGGATTTGAAGATGCTAATAAATTCCTTTCCAACTCTTCTGCTCGCCATGCTTTACAGGGAATAGAAAAAACACTATCACTGCTTGAATTCAGTGCTGTGGATGAATCCTATAAAAAGAATGATTTAGACAGTCAGGGACAGTTTTGTTTAATTCATTGCAAAATATTTCAGGAGTGAAAATACAGTCACAATAAGACAATTAGGTTCAGTTAAGATGCTTCCCTTCTGACAGGTATAATGTTCAATATCATTGTTTATTTATGTTCTAGGGAAGTAGTTATCTTGAGAGGTTTCACTAAAGCGGCCACCCTGAAAGCGTTGTTTATTATAATTAAAATTAGTAATTTTTGTTGTAATAAACACATCCAATTATTTTTACTACACTAAATCCAATCATATACTATATAAAACCTCACACAAGGCAGCACTATATATAACAGCTGGTCAACATGTTCAAGAACAAATCCCTTTCACCAAAAATATCAACAGAGACATATAAATAAATAAATATTCAGATTTTTCAATACCAACACAGAAAATTTGGTACTTCTTTATTATAGCAGCTCCACTGTAGGCAATTTTATATATTTGGCAATTTCAGATTTGTGCCGAGATCTCCAGTATAATTTCGCCAACATTATTAAGCACAAATGTAAAAATAAACAACACAATATACAATAACAAAAATAATACATGTTTTTTCCTAAGAATATTTTTAAGAATCCTTCTTATTTTATTGCATGTAACTGTTCCAGTCAACTGCAGCACTTTCACACATATTAAGCTTGCTACACCATTTTATGGACATCAACTCCTTTGCCTAGGAATATATAAATCTACTAGCAGTGATAAATGATATTTTGGAATAGCCAAACCAATTTTCAAAATTGAGGCCCTTCTTTTCCAATTTTAATGCTGTACCTACAAATAGTTTCATCATTTCACGTTGTGGCCTTTTTTGCATATTCGTTTCTCAGACCTCTTTCTTAAAAAATTATATGGCACCCACCTTATTGGTAGGTAAATTAAAGATTGCTAACATCATTGTCACCAAAAAAAAAGAATGAATATAATTTTAAATAAACAATGCAAATTTGAAAACCTGATAAAAAATTAATAACACGAGAACAAGCGGCAAAAGCAAGAATGTAACACAGTGCTAATATATGATTACATATATTAACACTGTGTTACATGGCAAGGTATAAGAACAAGCAGCCAGATTTTAGCAATATATCTTGGTTGATTACTGATTCAATCTCAGAGGCTGCTACACCAAAGAAATATCGAAAATTCAAGAATAATTACTTTTCCAAATTAAAAAAATTTTTAATTACCAAAAATTGTAACAAAAAAATTTCCAAATACGAAAAATTGTATAGTTTTAAAATAATTTAAACTATGTATGATCGATAATCACATAAATGAAATAATAAGTACTTTATATGAAGCTGAAGCAATCAATAGTATGGTTAGAACTTGTGAGTACTTAAAATAACTATGCCTTCAAAATATTAGTAAAAACATTAAACAAAAACCTCATAATAGCCCTTAAATAACAGCATGTTTTCAGTTCCATAATTTTTCTCTTGAATAACCATCAATGTCAGTGGCAGGCAGACAAAATTTCTCATGAAACGGGCAATATCCACAATTTTGAGAAATAAAAAAATTAAATAACCCTAAACATGCAAAATCGCTCAAAACATTAACAAACAAAATACTGAATAAAAAATAAACATAATAATAAGGCACAGCATTTATTGTCTCATACAAAGCTAGCATAATGACAATTGTGATATGTCCATTTTATGAGAAAAATTTAATAATATATATGTTCTCAAAGATTGGCAACAAAGACACTTCTTAAATCGATATTTCTTATTCATATTGGATGGCAAGATAAAGCAATGTTGAATGGCATTTTGGCATACATTTAAAAAATAACGAAAGCACTTTTTTTTTTTTTTTTTTTTTTTTACTTTACTATGCGACAACACATATTTCATATTTTCCATTAAGAAAGAAAATGAAAACAAAAATAGTATTTTATTCTTATTTATGCGAGTTTAAAAACACAGGAATAAAGACAAAACACTTCCATTTAAACGGATTTTAACTGATACTGATGGCCAATAACCACTTATAGTCAAACCCTGACTAACTGGGTTAATACTAAGGTGGGGGGTTAATATCCATGGCTACTCAGAATTGGGATTATTACGACAATTTAAAAACAGAAACAGGAAAATAACCCATATTAAAATTAACAGGAAAATACTAGCAATAATTTATTTCTATTTTAAACAGTTTAAGCTTGAGAACAGGCTCATTTGGTTACATAAATTAAATCAATGTCTAAATCAAAAACACACTGTAAATAATGGGAAAATTAATATTGTTATAAATGAAGAAACAAAATTATAAATGACATTAGAGAAACAAGTAAATTCTCATGGATTTTTTTCACATTGGTAGTGTCAATTAATTAAATGATATTGTAATGATAATGAACGCATTCAAACAATTCGGATTTGCTTTATGATTTATGACTGCAACTAATTAGAATCTTCAAAAAGAAAATAAAAAACAGAAGCAAAATATATAAAGAGCTTGCTAACAGAAATATAAGTATTTCTATTAATCTAAACATTAATATAATTACATATATATAATTTATACTTCAATACCGACACAAAGTTGAGACTTGTATAAAATTTACACGAGTCTAAGCTGTTTTTGCTTAATTTCTATTTTTGACATTGGCGTGTATCTCTTCTACACATACAGCACATACTAGAGTAGCATTTGCAAAGTTGCTAGAAGACTGTGAGTAATTGTAAAAACCTTCAAAGCATATTTGAAATCTGTGCATAGAAAATAAGCATTATTTACTTCTGAGAGACAGCTTCTATTGGCTGGACCTATTTGTGAATTTAGAATTTCAAAAGATATAGCTTTTTTCTTCATTTTGTGTATAACCTTGGAAACAATATTTAAAACTCCATCCATTTTTCCTTTACTTTCTGTATTTTCTCTAGAAAACTTGCTAATATGTTCATGGTTTGTGACAGTAATTTTTCTTTGTTCAGCAATAAACAAACTTAAAATTTTTTAGATAAGATCCACTTAATCATCCCCAATTAACTGACAGTGGTAGCTTGGAAATGTGTTGTTCTTGTCTCTTACAATAGAGTTCTTGATTTCAAAGTAGGCATTGCTAATAAATTTTTAAAGTAGGTCATTCTATTTTAATTCTTCATTTAATAAAATAACCAAGAACTACTTCTTAAATTTAGAAAAATTTGATCATGTCTGAAACCAAAAATATTCTTCAAATTAAATACAAATTAGGGCTAGAAAGAAAACACTAATATTAATTTTTTACACATGTCAATTGTCTATTTAATTAAAAAATTAAAAATACATACCAAATGAGAAAGGCTACTAGAACTACTAAGTGACTGCAAAATTGATGAAATTCCACTATCTTTAGGTGTTGTGCTCCATATAGAACGAGTTTTCGGAGAGCCCTAAAAAAAAATTTGTTTTCATAAAGCAATAACTCTCAGATTTATGCAACAGATATATATTTATAAACAGCAATGTATTATTTTATTTGTTTACAAAGGTAAAATTTACTTACACAAATTTCTGTCTCTAAAATAGCAGGGGGAGGAGGAGAAGGACCAAAAACTGAGCCTAGACGGGACTACAAAGAAAAAAATAAATAAATAAATATATTTTGTTACATTTTAGATACATGAATTATTTTTATAATAAATTAATAAAAGTAGCTGAAAATTCTGCACAAACAATAATAAGCAACTGTTCCTCTAAATTTGCAATTACATATTAGTCAATTTTAAAAAGTCATTTGTTTTAATTATAAATAACCTCATAAACAAAAATATCCGAATTTCAAATAAATACAATGAAGCCACAGTTCATGAATTTAATTCATACCTGAAGGCATCCAAAATGTTAGTAAACATAAACTACTTTTCCCAAAAGGAATTAAGGTAAATGGATTAATTCGTTCTTGAACCACAAATGATTCATCGTGGTCTGGGATTATTTAAAATATATAAATTTAGAATTGACAAGAGCACATTGTACACACATTCATAACATGAAAATACAAGACAAAAAAAGTAAACAAAATATTAGATGAAAATTTGATTTTTTTCACTGGTATCCACATGAAGAAGAGATCATTATATAAATTACGTGATGAGAGAGAGAAAAAGGTTATTGATTGAATGAAAAATCCTCATCCCTAAAAATATCAAGTAACTATCGTCTTAAATCTGCTTGAGATTCACTAAATTGAAAATTTATCCAACACGACTTGTCGTCTATTTTTAAAAATGTTTCTAAAGTGAAACATTGCATTATCATTGAAAATGATTTTCTGTAGTTTCCTTTATCAAGACGACTTAGCACCTTACCCCATTTTGCTTGAATTTCACAGATCAAAGAATTACATTGATCTCTCTTCTTCTCTTCATCTGAAAACACTTCCACATATGACTTTTGTTGCTGCTGCTGAAGATGTTGCAGCTATTTCTAGTTGAATTAATTTTTTGTGGCCCTTTAACTTTTCAATGTTTTCAGTGTTAGCTTTCAAACCCATGGAGTTTTCCCTAGAAACCCAATATCATAGACGGCAAAAAAAAAAAAAAAAAAAAAAAAAAAAAAAAAAAAAATCTTTAGCATAAAACCCCTCAAAATCTGTGACCATAATTCCATCTTGCTAAATACATAATCTTTGTTGACAGTTAAGTACTGGAAAATATTAAAATCATGTTTCTATAAGTCAGTCACTGAATGTTAATTCTGTTATCAAAGGTTACCTCAAAAAAACCTCTGATATAGAATGTAAATGATTTGCTGCCGGTTTGAATGCTCACAACTGGAGACACTTTAAATCATCCTAGTTTTTTTTTTTTTTTTTTTTTTTTTCAGATAATTTATTTATGGACTGATTTGTTCACACTAAGAGGTTTCACAGTATATCTTATTTAACAATTATATCGCCAAATAGTCCAAAAAAAGTAAACAAAATATTAGATGAAAATTTGATTTTTTTCACTGGTATCCACATGAAGAAGAGATCATTATATAAATTACGTGATGAGAGAGAGAAAAAGGTTATTGATTGAATGAAAAATCCTCATCCCTAAAAATATCAAGTAACTATCGTCTTAAATCTGCTTGAGATTCACTAACTAATAATAAAACTTACTAAATTAAAAAGTCAACTGCTAGTTAATAAACTTTTACATTTAAGTGCTCAGTTAAAACACAACCAATTAAATTTATATTCTTTTATCATTCCAAAGCAATAAATGTCTAACAGACAAGGTCTGTTTGTATATTGTATACCTAATCGTTCGTTAAAAAAACAGTTCATTTCCTTTATTAAGAAAAGATTTATATGCTGTTTAATCATATATTAAGCATTCCAAGAAAAACAGGATATGTATATAGAATTTTTTAAATAAAAATTTTAAATAATATCATTTATTTACATTGAACTGTAATCAACATATGTAACCACTAACCCAAATCAAGCATTCAGAAATTAACTCTATTGTTTAAACATGCACATTGTTAAGATTACGGATTTTTTTCACTGAAATATTGTAATTTTAATTTTACCGATAAATGGCAATTCCGAGCAACTGTCATGATAGCAGGATCATCTAAGTCATCTTCCAAGCCCAACTGAGATATGCTTTTTGAAACAATTTCCTGAAAAAAGCAAAATTATACACTAATTAAAAAATTCATACATAGTTACAATTCTCAATTATATGAAATAAACACAAGATTAAAAAAACAATATACTGACAGAAGCTACATTTTGTTTTGGGGAAAAGAGATATCTCAAATAGTAATTTTTTACAATATACGTGAGGAACTTTTACTTTTCACATGTCTTATTTTATTTAGCAAGTTAAAGCAGTTAAGAGGAAAGATGGGACACATACAGATATATATAACTACACAGAAGGAAGAGATAGTCATTTTAGGTCCCATAAAAACAATGAAAAATACTGTAAGACTAGAAACATTAAATATGAGAAAAAGATGTTTGACTTTATTGGTAAAAACAAATACGCTGGAAAAGTAATTTTGTACAAAAGGAGGAAAGTCCTGTATCTGATGAGGAAAATTCAGAATAAAATTTTAATTCCACAAAATTTTAAAAGTAGCATATAGTAGGAAATCTGCAAAATGCCACAGAAAGTGATAAGTAGGTAATGTAGGGCAGAAAATGGCAAAATGAAAAATATGGGAATTAGTTGTGAAACCAGAAAGAAAAAACATTAGAAAACCACAAAGATATTCAGAGCAAAAAGAGAGAAATATTTTGATGATATTTACAGTCCCGTACTTAATAATAAGCGAATCATTTAATTACTTTGTACTTTACTACAGAAATAATAAAACATTTTCATATAATATGAACTGTTAATAAAATGTATCCCATTTAGCAGCACCATGGATGCATCAATGCTCACTTCTTATCCTGCTCTGGAAGAAAGAAATCCAACCATGAAAGTAAACTCTTGATGCTAAAAATAAATAAACTGAATAGCTGTTAGCAAAAGAATGCATGAATATTCCTTCACTTTTGGCTTTACAAATTAAATCTTTTAATATGGATGTACTTTATCTTGAAAGATTTTTATCATGAATAGCAGTTTGGTCACTTAGCAGTTATTAAATCCTAAAATCCATACTTTAAAAAGATCAATACTTCAACAAAAATGCATCTAAACATCTCAGAGGAAAGCATTACTGGTCTGATGTACATTCTTCCTACGTATTTACAGCGATAGTTTCACACAAGAAGTGAAATAAACAGTTCAGACATCTGGCATTTTCACATGTAATTTCTGACTTGTGACCTGTTAACCAGAAAGTAACCCCTCTCCCAAAAAATCCACTAAACATATGTTATAAATTAATAATGTGATTAATTTTACTTACATTAGAAAGAAGAATAAGTGATCTAGATGACTGCAGTTTAGAAGTACTGTTGGATAGAATTCTATAATACTGCAGTGGATCGCACAAAAATAAGAAATTCACATGCGAGATCCCCCACAAATCAAATCAAATAGTTGAGCTGTTATGAGGTTTGAGAGGACATACTCTGGCACTGCAAGAGCAATAAATTATTCAGCAATTCCTCCAATTGACATTACAAGAGTCATAACTAGTAAAAGATTTTAGCAATCTGCACTGTGTCTATCATCAAGGTCTCTCCAATGCCAGTAGACGAAGAACCAAGAAGAATCAAAGACTCTTAAGATCCTCTTATATCAGCTTGGATTATAATGAATCAGACAACTTAAAAATAAAACTGAAAAATTAAGAGGGCATGACTAATTTAGTCTTCAGACAGAGCAAGATATCAGAGCACGCTTAAACTCTTCAACTAGAGACTCTTGTTACTAACAAGATCCTCATATAACAAGGACAATACTTTCAAGTAATTGTTTCTATTCCTTCAATATTAATTGTTGATGGTCATTATAGCATTGTTAATAGAGTTTATCACAGTTTTATAGTAATTTTAGTTTTACATACAATAAGTAATATGCAACCTACTGAAATGTAACCAGTCCATTAACAACATGGAGTTGCACCATCAGCGAGGCTCATTGTTTCCACCCCACCACCTTTCATTGTTTCAGAGATAAGATACCCATCCAAGAAATATAAACAAAAATATATATTTAAATACTCACATCTTGACTTTCATCATTTTCAAGAAGAGTGTCATTAAAAACTGAATGTGGTACTAATTTATTCTTTTTTATTAATTCAGATAACTTTTCATGAGCTTCTTCCCAGTCATCTGCAAAAAAACATATTTACAAAAGTTTACTTTTCTGAACATAAAACCATACGAAATTAACACTATGAATAAAACTGGATAGCTAAATTAAATAAATATATATTAAAATTTATTATTCTAAACATATAATAATGATTATGGTATTGTTTGCAATAACTCGTGAAAATCAGTCATGACACGCATACGCAATTATAACCAAAATTGACTCACAAAAGGCCACAAATAACACACACATTCTAGATACAGTACAAAGTCCCAGATCCGGACATTCCAATATCCAGAATGATCTAAAATCTGGACCTCAAAGCCACCACCAACCTTTTTTTTTTTTTTTTTTTTTTGAGGGGTATGCTTTACGCATGCGTATTTGATTCCCCCCTTACAATAAAACATGCAGAGTCCTGATTATTATCTCACTTCGGAGCTAAATAAAATACATCATTATTGAAGAAATAATCATTTTAGCATGAATTTGGGCAATCAATAATTTGACTCCATAGCTGCTTATCTGCTTGGCATACATCTCAAACCGAAACTTTCTACATAGAAATATTGTTCATTTTACACCAACTAATATTTTATATTCTTGATGCCAACCTGATGAGTCATTATCTATTATATTTTCCTTTTCTCACTGCATGTTTATCAACACATGATAATTTGAGTAATGAATCCTGCAGCAATGCCTAAACAATTTTTTTTATATTAGTAATTGAATAACTAAGAGTATGGTAAAATCTTTTCTGTTGACTAATTTCTGTAACTAAGAGTTCGGTAATCTTTTTTATTGAATTAAGACTAACTGATTTGTTATTCACATAAAGCCAGAACCGGCAGAAGAGCTCGCATAGCCGCACTGAGCTGCAGAATTTAGGGATGAAGAGCAGTTAATGAAAGTTTTTCATTGTGATGACAATGTCTCAATCATCAGTCAATTAATGGATAACGAAATCTGTAGTATGATTCTAGATCCAGAAAATATCACTACCGATAGTGAAGAAAGTGACAGAGAGGTTAATGAAAATGAAAAAATTTCAATTGACAAGTTAGTCGGAATTCTCGACCCAGGAATTACAGGACTTGAACAACGGAACTTTATAACTGAACAAAAAAATTGTACCTTTCCGTTTCGCCGGCGTAAATCTCGCCAAGCAGACTTTGTTGGCATCAGCATACAGTATACACATAAAAATATTAACAAATGTTAGTTCTAAGAATTTTTTTATTTTGAAGACAAACATTTTAATATGGTTTGTAAAAAGGCAGTAAATAAAGACAATAAATTTGTAAAAAGACATTAATTTAAAATTTACTATGCTTTCATGGTTCAACATCCTGATTCGCTACTTCGTATCACATGACCCCAAGTGATCTCATCTTACGTAAGCTACACTATAAAAAACTAATTCTCTCAGTAATTATTTACATTAATTTCAAGTTAAATCTTAATTTGGAATACAAGTTTAAATGCAAGAATTATTTCAATTCGTAAAAATAGCTTACTCAGAAATTATGTAAAACCGCATTGCTTTACTTCGCTAGTGCATTCTCATTAGAATTGATGAATTAACCCTTCATTTTGCCTTATATATTTTTGCCTTCAGGTGAGCGGTGTGATTGCATCTTAATCGACTTAATTACCACGAACGGTCTTAGGGCATAAAATTTAATTATCTAGGTAAAAAATTCTATGTAATTGTATGCCAGTATTGAAAGAAACAATCAATCTGATAAGAAATGGCTGCAAGTTGTTTTGAAAATGAAGCGTAAAAGGTTACCAGCGAAGATATTCTGTTTGGCATCAGTTGTACCATTATTGGCGACTTTATCGTTTGCGCCGGCAAAACGGAAAAGTACCAAAAAATTATATGTGTCTATTGAATTAAAGAGAAAGTATTAGCACAAAAAACAAAGATACTTAAACAACTTACACAGAAGGAAATGTTTAATAAAGTAAACATGTAAATATTAATTTTTTCGGACATTTTGATACCCTTTAGATCATAAATACTTCATTATTTCATAAATCACAATTTCATATTTTTAATTTTGCAATCGTACTACATCCCATTGTACTAGATTTAAATTGATGATCTAATATCCGAAAAAAAAAAACCCAAATCCGGGATCGGCAAAGTTGCGCAGAATCCGAATTTCAGACTTTGTACTGTATCAATTCTAAGAGAATAGAGATACCAAGTTACATAGCTAGAAGGGACAGTCTATTGCTGCTGACAGCATATTTTACATTTTAAAAAGTAACATTTCTCACATAAGACAATTTTATTAATTAATTTGCATCAACTTAGTCATTTTTATTATTGAAATACTTATTCTTTTTTCAACCGCACTTACAACTAAAAAACAAATAACAGAAATACAGATAATGTAAAATATAATAAAAATTATTCCATTTTTGTATCGTACATTTTAAATTTTCAAAGATAAATCAATAAAATACATGTCTAGGCAAATGCTTATATCACAGAACCTACATCTTAACACATTACCAAACGATATCCTATTAATCGGCTTTTTATCGCCAACGCCTACCGACCGATAGCCTATTAATCGGCTTTTCATCACCAATGTCTAACGACCGATCGGCTATTAAACACTTTTTTTAGGCAACGCCTGCCGACCGATAGCCTATTAATCGCCTTTTTTTTTTTTCCAACGCCTATCGACCAATAGCCTATTAATCGCTTTTTTTCTAAGGGCTATCTAAAAAGAGCCTAGCAATCGGTAGCCATGGCGATAAACAATTTCGATTTGCTACATCATCTGCATTTTATTCTTAGTGTTGAGGTACATTGCTCACTTGCATTAAGTGCGTTGCTTCGTAAACTCCCACATTTTCACTTTTTTTTTTTTTTTTTTTCAAAATTACCATTCACGATGAGTGAAAAAATGGTATGGAGAATTTTATTTAGACGATTTATCAGATTGTCCTGACAGTTATTCAGAACATGAAGAATTTGCGGCCGGTCGGACGTGTGTATGCTGATGAACCGCTAGCGGTCGGCAAAGTGTTAAGAACATGGCAAACCTAGTACATCAACATAATGCCCATTCTTTTACTTTTCTTCAACCCTTCCAGATTCATCATAAACTTCTTTAATTATACATATTCATTATAATAATTCATTTAAAAAAACTACTGTATTACTTATGCATTTTTAGCCAAAAGTCTTGCAACAGTTACCACTAGCCACATGCAGAGGATAACAATTGTGAAATGTGGTTACTGGGATAAAGAGCTTTAAATATCATTTTTGTTTTTTATAATGATTTAGACATATAAGCTACAAAATACACAATTAAAATGTCAATATTTGACAAAAACTACAAACACCAAAAATACACAATTTCACCAGAAAAATAAATTTAAAACAATACATACCATTTGCAGCCTGGCCAAATGTTTCATCATTTAATGCATCATATTCTTCCTCAACATCCCCAGTAAGCAATACATCTTGAACTACTTGTCTCCCAAGTACCTGAAAGTTGATAATTAAGATTCAGTCAATGGACTATAACATAAATTTAAAGCAACCATGCTGAAAAAAAATGTAAAGACTGAGAAAACAGACATCTGTTTCAGTTGAGCATCAAAATATTTTTTTGGATTTCAGAAAACTCGTAATCCTCTAATAATTATTAGCCATAGTTATGATCTTTTGAGATGTAATAACACCAATCTGTAGCACAAGTACTTAACAAATAGTAAATATTACTGGTCATCAATTATATTGCTTCCCAGATGTTCTGGCTCTTGCATTAATTCTGGACGAATTCTGAATGTTCAAAATGGGGGAGGGGGGAAGCAAGCAGTTTTGGTACTCTCTGTTTATGCACTTAACTCTCAGAAGAATCACTATGTTGCCAAAGTGGGCAAACCATGATTGGTTGCGTGCATTACACCAACACGGAATTTGTATTTTGAAATCTGACAATCATCTTTGTGGCTGTTGCTTATCAAGTATTCTTAGGTGATTGCAATAATAGCTTTTTTCAAATTTGTGCTAGTCTCTGATATTTTTTTTTTTTTTTTTTTTTTTTCCCCTTGGTGTTAATAAACTTTTTTCTAAATTCACACAATTCTCTGATGCTTAGTTAACAGGTCAATGTGTATATGGAAAGGACAGGGGAAAAAAGGATGCTTATTTTTAATTCAGTTTATTGGTTACTGCTTTATGTAATTTTCAGTGTTTTATTATAGATATTGCTTTTATGTAATTTTCGGAGTTTCGTAATACTAAATGTTTCTTGAATTTTAAATTTGTTAATTTGATGCAGTTTTGCTGGCAAAAAATAACTGCCAACAACTGGCAACTTTGCAGGTGAACTGGGAGATTAATCACAGCACTGCAATTTTTATTTTAAAAAGTTTGATCTTCCTAGTTCTTTGCTCAGCAAATTAAGCATTTTCAACTATCCACACCCTCCCAAAAAAATTGCAAAAAAGCATTATGTCGCCAAAAAATATTTATGTGGCAACCCAAGTGTGCACATAGTGTGTATATATATATATATATGATGTACCAGCTTTTGTCCGGAATAAATAGATTGGTGAAGAAATATAGATGTAGTCGTAGCTTAAATTATCAGACGATAAGTTTAAAAAACAGGATCCATTTATTAATTGGTCAGGAGAAATAGCAGTTACAAAATCATATTTCCAGAGTAAACAAAAAAGAATTACTAATAACTTTTTGTATGAAGTTTACTGCATCGTTACATTAAACAAAAGACACACAATATTCCTTTGCGAATCCTTTTATAGCCTCTGGAGAGGCGGAGCTTCAAAGAAATGACGTCAGCCATTCCAGTTCACTTGAAATATCTCCAGAACATTCTATAACTGTACGTGTAGAAAAGACGGGAAAAACAACTTGACTACGGGGCTGTGGATTTAATTACACGTACTTTCACATAAGAGACCCGTCGCCATTAAAAATGAAAAGAACATACAGTTAGAATTTTAAGTGTATTCTTGACTATGGAATTTTATTATTACATATACATATGTAGTTGTGATGTAAAATATATTAATATACTAAATACTCCAAATTTTAGTTGAATAATTTCGTTTGTACTTAGGTATTGTCACAACCACCTTGTTTGTTGGTAAATTTTCGGAAGTCGCCAAACAATGACGACTATGCACATAACTGCAAGTTTGAATAAGCAGTGTTGCCACTTTCGCACATGCTCTTTTGAATAAAATCCTAGTATATGGTATGGCCTTGGTGAGATTTTGAAAATTGTCACCAATAACAAAATGGCAAAAATTTACAAAAAAAAAAAAAAAAAACGCTTAATATTTATTTGTTTACTTTATTAAACATTTCTTTCAATGTAAGTTGTTTAAATGCTTGTTTTATGTGAATACTTTCTCTTTAATTCTATAAACAGACATAATTTCTTCTTCAGTTACAAAGTTCCGCTGTTCAAATCCATAATTGCTGTGTCGAGAATACCGAATAATTGTTAATCGAAATTTTTCATTTTCATAAACCTCTGTGTCAATTCTCACTATCGGAAGCAATTATAATGGCGAGGAATTTGATTTAAATCATATCAAAGACGGAGTACATCGAGATGAAATACTACATTTAGTAAGGAATTATAAGCCAAATAAAATAAAAACATCTGCCCTGAAGATAAGGATAGTGCTGACAGATCAACTTCCAATTCATTGCGTATTTCAGGACAGAAAAGATAAACCATAATATTCAGACTAAAAGTGCAAAATAAATAAGATGTATTGGATACATTTAATTAAATAATTATATACATTATTGCAATAACTTATTATATGTGTTAAATTATTACATACATAAATTGACTATATTATTCATTGTATTATATATACACAGCATCAAGGTTTGCCGATTTCGCCTCATGCAAAGATTTCCGGTTTCGGATTCCGGTGTTAGAATCACTGCTATAAAATTTTAACACTTTTTCTTTATTTTTCTGTATATCATAACACAATCATATCGCAATTCCACATGATTCTGCTATAAAATGCACCTATCTCCATCTTTGCAGAATTCAATTCAAAGGAAATGTAATTCATTTGAAAATAAAAAATTTTAAAAATGATGTTAAAAACATTTGTGGTAATAAACTTGGTTGGAATAACTGATTTTGCCAAATTTTTGACAAGTTACCATAAACAATTGATTCACTGCCAGTTCTTATACCAAGCTAGCATAAAGCTATAACTTTGAGATAAAATACTCAAACCAGTTTTTGTAATTCAGTAAAGTCTGGTTGCCTAGCAATGAAGCTCTGCTTATAGTACCTCTTAAGATCAAAGAAACACTATAAAATCTAACATATAAGAAATTTTTCTGAGAAATGCTTTTCTTCCAACAATCGTTACAACAGATTCTTAACCGCATCTTTTGGGCAACAGTTGCGTTTAGTAGTTTGTTTCATGAATGAGTTGCAGTACTTTTTGATTCAAAGAAAAAAACTGTGTTGGGGCAACTCAAGAGGAGAAAAAAAATCTTCTTTAGTATAAATAAATGGTACAACTCTGATATAAGCCCTAATTTCACCAAATGTGGCGATATGTGTTCTACGCTGGTTGATCACGATTGCGTTTATTTAACCCGTTTGAAAAATCTTTCGATGGCTCGTTGATTGTGAGTCCCCGTATGAAGAAATGGATAAAGATAAAAGGGTGTTGTTGATGAAGTTCGGTAAATGAAATATCATTTTGTGGCTATCCTGTATATGTGGCATTGTGTGGGCTCTGAAGATTATTTTGGTTAATCTTTGGATTATGGTAACTTGGCGATTTTTTGGCGAAAATTTGGCGACCAACCCTGCTACAGCATCCTGCTAATTTTTGTTTGGAGGCCATTTTGTTTTCACAAAGGCATTTTTTTTTTTTTTTTTTTTTTACTCAACATTTCCAACAATCTGCTAGCCGAATTACGCTTATGCTAGAACTTTTATGGAACAAAAGTGCTTAATCATGACGAAGATTTGGTGCGAAATTGAGACAAAGTGCAGAATCGCCCACTGCTTGCCGCGTCTTTACGAAGGCACAACACGTATCATCCATGTACACGTCAACCTATTTCTTAAAAAATCCCAGAATTGCACAAAAATGGCATTGCGCCACTCTTGACTACTTCCATGTACACTGCTAAGTTCTAGCTAGTAAACCTTATCGCCTTACCAAATGTCGCCAAACACCTGTCCAATCCAAGATTAGCCATTATTTTAATGGCAGTGATGATAGAAGTAATAATTGGTGATCTTTACATTACGGTAACTGGTATTTGGCGACTTTGGAGGCGTAAAGGTTACTACTGGGACTTGGAATAAGTGAGCAGTACTGAGTCGATTACGCATTATTTTGTGGGGGGAAATGAGAGATCGGGGATATGTCGTGATGTTAATGACGAATTACGGTTTCTTTAATCGGAAGAGATCAGGGATATGTCATGTGATTTTAATGGACGAATCACTGTTCTTTAATGGGGAAAAAATCTGGGAATTTTTGTATTGGCTTTATTCTGTGGTGTGAAATAGTGTTTGTGAATTTTTGGATCCCATGGCCGTAAGTAAAAGTGAATTCGAAATGGGTTTTAGTGGTATTGAAAAGGATAGTAAGAAGTGTTTTTTAAGGTTGTGTGAGAGAGAAATAAACATGTTTTTTATTTATTATTTTTATTTTACGTGGTATCTTGTTTTGAAAGATAAGTATGATTTAAGATTCTGAAAGAGAATGAAGAAAAGTGTATCCGCCCACGTAATGAAGATTCTGAAGGAGATTAGTAATAGCATTTAATTATTTTATGCATGTGGAAATGTAAGGTGGAAAGGAATTTGGTATTATTGGGAAAATTGTTATTAGCATGATTTATTTTAAAGTAATTAGGATTGTAAGGTATTTTATTAATTGAATGTATGTGCTCATGATATTTTAGTGGTGTTTTTGAATTTTAATTAATTTTAATGAAATGATTAGTTATTTTGTGAATTTTATACTTGTAGGAATTTGGTGTATGTTTAAGTTGAATAAAGTGCAGGGAAATAATTTAAATATTTGATAATAAATATTTGTAATGCTTCATGTGAATTCGTTGGGACGTGTATAATGTAATAGATGATTTAGAGGTAAAGTTTTTGGATATTTATTTATTTTATATGTGGAAATGTTCATATTTGTAAAGGCTAAATACTTTTTCGCGATCATGTAATTTCATATATGTTCTTTTTACCGGGTTTAAAGATTGAGAAAATTGTCATGTATTTTCGTGAAATTTTTTAATTTATGAGATAAAAGCAGTGTACATGGATATAGTGTGAAGAGTGTGCGCAATGCCATTTTTGTGCAATTCTGGGATTTTTTTTTTTGAAGTAAAAATAAGTCGGCGTGTACATGGTTTATGTGTATGTGTTATTTGAAAACGCGTAAGGTGTATGGTATTGTGCACTTTTCCGAATTTTGCAGTGAATATTTGTCATGATTAAGCAGTTTTGTTTGATAAAATTTCTAGCATAAGTGTAATTCGGCTAGTAGATTGTTGGAAGAAGTGTTCAGTAGATAAGAAGAAAAGAAACATGTCTTTACTTCGTGAAGACAAAATGGCGGCGGGAAAAAAAAACGGCAAAAAAAAAAAAAAAAAAAAAAAAAAAAAAAAAAAAAAAAAAAAAAAAAAAAAAAAATAGAGGCTTAGGGGAGTTGGTCGCCAAATTTTCGCCAAGTTACCGTAATGTAAAGATCAACCTTGTGATTTATTTATTTGTGAACCAAGTATAAATTTTCTGGATAGTGTGTCTGGCTGTCACGTAAATACGATAGATAGTGATTACGTGGCGGCATGTTAAAAAGGCGGTATGTAATTTTATTTTTTGCTATTCGAAAACGCATTATTCATGGTATGTGCATTTTATTTTATCCTTGTTCTTATTTTGTAGAATGTTATGTTCATTGGTTCTTTAGTATGAATTTCTGTCATTATTGTTGTTTTTTTAAAATGTTTGAAATTTATTTTAGTTTATTTTATTGTTTAGTGTCTAGACTGTTGCAATTCGTAGACGTTTTTTAAAGTTGAAACAGAATGCTGTGTACATGGTAATTATTGAAATTTATGTTTTATGTTATTTTATTTAAAGCGAGGAGCGCGTAGTAGATCGTAGATTCCTTCCTTGCCTAAATTGTGCAATTCATAGAATTTTTTTTAAAGTTTAAACAGGATGCTGTGTGTACATGGTATTCTTTGAAATTTATTGTTGTTATGTTAATTTATTTTTAAAGCAAGGGTGTGCCGTAGTTCGTAGATTCGATTCGTTGTTGCCTACATTGTGCCATTCGTAGATGTTTTTTTAAGTTAAAACATGTCGCTGTGTACATGGATTCTTGTCAAATATTTTTGGTTAGAAACTTTACGTTTTTGCTAACTAAATTTTTTGTTTTTGTTTCAGATTTTTAGCTAAATTGTACGTTGAAAACGTAGTTTTTGGAGACATTTTAGGCTAAAAGTTCGAAATGTAGACAAAAAATTTAGATAGTAATATGGCAGTGTGAAGTTTCTCGCCAAAAATATTTGGCAAGAAATTTGGCGACTTGAGGGCGCATATCAGAGTGGTTCCAAATAAACTTCTGAATGGTCTTTCTTTGTACTTCCGTGTTTCTCGCAAAAATTTATTATTGATTCTATGTCAGTAAGTCTGATAAGAGTTTTACAGCTGCTAGTTTGATGAATTAACACAGTTAAAATCCAACAATTAAATATGCATAATTGATCTCGGAGGCATGCAGTTTGACTCAATATAATTTGCTCAAATTACAATCTTTAAATCCAATAACATTTGAAGTTGTTTATCATATTAATTTTCCATACAAGATAACCATTGCGATACTTGAATAATATCATACAACCATTGCAACAATATAGTGCTTGCAATATTTTATGCAAATAAAACTGGACTTTTATTTAATTTTTAACCTTCCTATCACCTTTAGCATACTACTGAAAAATCTTCAATAAATTAAACATGAAAAGTCTCATACTTGACAATGAAATCATCAATAGTATATCTAAAGTTTACCAAAATGTTAAAAAAAATTAAAGGGACAATTTTTTATTACTCTCAAATGCTAATCATACATTGACCAACACACTCTTAATCTTCCTAAAATGGATATGTAATATTTTAGAAGCAATGAGAACCATAAATTACAATACCACATTTTTACTACATTTTAAGATTTCTAGTAGATAGTAAATTCAGTGCAATTCGGGACATAACAGCTGGGATAATAAATTACTTCCAATATTAAAAAATTTTAAATTATAAGGAATTTAATATATTTCTAATATTGAATAAAATTTGATTTTTTAAAATATAAATGAAACCATCTTTTAAAATTGCCTGTTAATATTGAGTTCTCATCTTCATACCAATATAAATGTGGATAATTATTATTAATGCCCAAAATGTGAGCTTAAAATGAACTGATTTTATTAAAGTTATTGAATGATATGGCAAGAGCTCCTAATACGACGGTCAAATTGCACAACATGAATACAATATTTTTTTCATTAATTCTCCATCACGAATTACATAGATTATTTTTGACGCCAAGATCGGCGCAGGTACTTTATTTTAGAAATAAATGTTTTTTTTTCAGTTACTGATATCTTTCATCAAAAAATTACTATTTTATGTATCCACTTAATTATTCAATATCTTACAAAATAATAAACAAATGTAACGTTTACGAAATAAATAAACAAATTTAAAATATATTTACTTTGTTTAACAAATATTTAAATCAAATTCGTACAACATTGTAAAGGCACTGCTTTTTTACAAATATAAAAAAAATTAACGAAACTTTTATTAAAAACAAAGCATGAAGGAAAGTTACATAGTTAGTAGAGTAACAGATCATGTAATTTTACGAATAACACATTTTTACGTGAATAAAATATAATTCTTTCATCCAAAATCAACATAGGCAGGAAGAAAATAATAATAAACAATACGCACATTTGTTCCTGATGGAAATTCCGTATCGAAACCAAAAAAGTTATCAGCCATTGCGAAACAGTCAAGGTTAGGTCACGACGTCAAACACTTCAGCAAATGTCTCTGTTGCGTTTTTTTGAAGCAGCTTCATTAGCATGGAGTACCTAATAAATCTAACCTTATATATCACTAAGAGACACAATATTTTATCTTTTACGTGGTCAACTAGGCCTAAGTCACAAAAATAAAACAAATCACATATACTCAAGAACCAATTACTTAAAATGAAAAAAATTCGTATTCTTTACAAAACACCGTATATGTTATACACCACTCTTCATAATACCTAAAGCATAAACCCTCTAATGTGCAAAAATGCGCACAGAACTAAACAAATTCACATGATTTTGAAGGAATACCACCAAATTCATTGCCAACTTTAACATATGAAAAATACTACAAAAATAATGCCAGGTGTTGCCAACACCATTAATGTTTTTACAATATTTAGTTCATTTATTGTATTTCATAAGAAAATCGTGTTTTACTTCATAATCGGAGATAATTCACATTAATTAAAAAAATTTAAAACAACGTTTTAGTCATTTGCAATCTATCTTCTCATTTGATACCTTGACTTAAGCAGATAATAATTTATGGCTACGTTTGGGCTAGTGTACCGTAAATAAATAGCTTAGTGGTTTATACAAGTGTACGAAAATAATAACCATAAAAAGAAAAAAGAAAAGAAAAAAAAGAAGGAGCTCAGATTTTAGCGATCGTCTAGAAAGATTTTTTTAAGCTTTTTTTTTACGCGTTCGCTGAGGTTGCAGACTACCAATCTGCTGTTATATTTACTCCTGCTAACCCATTTCTTTTTGTCCATTTGCGTTTATTATTGCGTATCATTCTGTTCGCATTTACGCCGTATATAATTCAACAGCAAAGTTACAAATATTTTCATCATTTATTTGAAATTCATGATGCAGTGCTAAGTGTTGACATACATTTCTCTACTTTTCTTAGTTCATGGATTTTCTTAGAAAAATGGCTTGCAAAACTTTTTTTCATCTTTTTGTCATTAATGTTTCTTGTGTTAACTTTATTTATTATGTATTATGTTCTTCGCTCTTACGTAAAATTCAATTCAACAGCAAAATCATAAAATATATTTTTTAAAATATCATAAAATATACCATTTCCGATAGACAGTCTGGCGTGCTACAGATAAAAGTGTTTTATTTTCGTTCTGAAAGCAAACAGTGTTGTCACCGCTTGCTTTCAAATCATTGAGTTTTTAATAAAAATTCATTAAAGTTTTATGAAATCTGAAATATAAAATTCGAAATTCAAAATTCGGGCTCCCAGATGCACATGTCCGGATGGATGACTACGTGTTTCAAAATCTGATGGCTCTAGGTACCATCGTTTTTCACAGTGCGAGGAACATACATACGGGCAGTTTCAAATAATGCAGTGCGATAATATTTGGTGACAATAATCTGAAAATTTTTATGACGGTCGAGACTAGTAGCTGTTTATAGGGTATGATGCAAATTTCCGTTTGTATACTAACAGCCCATTCGAACAACACCTTTTGGACTAATAATTGAAGCTATATGTAACCTTTCATGCAACGTTAACCAATGTTAAGTCAGCATTTCAGGTAAGTGTTTCTTCAAAATGAGACCTTTGGAGAGGGAGGCTTGGAAATAGAAGCACAAGCAATTCAGGTGTACTAGTTAAAAAAATCAGCTGATGAAATAGTACAAATTCATGATGATGTGACTGGAAAGTCCAAGAAAGAAAATATTCAATTTCATGATTTCCATTCTATTCAATTTCATGATCTTCTGGTTTGTAGCCTTATATGGCAACCACTTAGATGGAGTCTGTATTAGTCTGTCGGGATTCATATAGCATTTAATTCAACTGAATGGATTTTCCTCTTAAAAGAATTCAAGCATTTCACTATATTTCGCTATAATCAAGTAAAATGTAAATATTTAAGATACACTTTCATACGCAGATTAGGGTAATTACAAAGCACAATGCAGGTAATTAAGTATAAATGATGAAATTTCACGGCTATATACAATATTTCCAATGCACATCGGGTTAGCTTTAAGTTGGAAAACTATCATCGCTGATTATGAGTAATAAAACGGCGTACTGAAAAGTACTCATGAAGCTCTTCATAATTAAGAACTTTGAACTGTAATAGATGTTTAAATTTCGTAGCTTTCTCGTAGAAGTTTTCCTTTAACCTGTTTAAGCACTCTTGGAAAGATTTTATTTTTAAATCCTCGTGTAACCCTAAGTCACTAACAAGTTAGTTAGGACTTGTGATCACTAGTAGTCACACTAGATCAAATTCACTAGTAGTCGAAATGCTAAAATCTGGAATATGTAATTGCTCGCGAAATGCACCAATAGCATGTATACTGCAAATGACTTTGTTTTATTTTATTTTTTAGGAAACTAAAGGATCAGCTGTGGGAATATGATGATGGTGAGGGTGAAATCAAAACCATGTAATGTAACTCAAATATTTTGTTTTCAATATGATACGTATTTCCATTTTATAACAATATTATTAACCTCTTTAACCTTTTACTGCAGGAACTAAAAACATTCTTTTCCAAATGTCCTTCGGTATTTCTGCGACTAGTTATTCTTCCAGACCGTCATACAAGTTTTGCATCAACTCGTTGTACCATGTTAATCATAGTAAGTTACGTCAAAACATGGTAAAGCTGTCTACCTAATGGGGGGGTCCCTGTTTAACGGAAACTAACTCGTAATCAAATTTTACAAGGGGAAAGCCACAGAAATTGTGCAGCTAACCTATATTTATATTGGTTAACCTCAGTTGTGTAGCTAGGATGGGGCAAGAGGGGACAAGACGGGCGCAGCATCCAAGGCGCGCCAAATTGATGCTACGAAATTTTCTAATGAAATATTTTCCATTTTTTGGCACACATAAAGGGGCGCAAATTCTTCAGTTGTCCGCGGGCGGTGGAAACTCTAGCTACGCCCCTGGTTAACCTATATTTATATCATGTTCTTTCGCGTTTTATGGAAGTTATTGTGATAATTATTTTTTTAAAGGCAAAGGGTCTATTTCTTGCTGCGATTTTGCTTCTGTCTGATACCTTCATTCTTGGCTATAGATCCAGCTCGAATTTTCCACGAATATAAATCTTCATCGTCATGTCAACAGTTTTATCCCATTCTTCTTGGGTTCCTTTTACAAAGTCGGTTCAGTGTTCTGGGACGCCATTTTCCTAAGGCGTTCTTTACTCATTTTAACAAACCCAAAACGCAGTGTCAGGTGATATTACATATATTTCATTAAATAGATGCATTTTATTCCTGTTTCTGATTTATTTTTTCTTAAATAAGCGGCAGTTTACTTAAACGTGTAATTAAATTGGTTTGGTTTATTTGGTTACGCCAAAGCAAGCGAAGTCTGTCTAGTTAAAAGGAGGGATGCCTTCGCCTAGAACTCTCTATTAGAGGTTTCCAACGGTGTCGGAATTGATCCCTGGGGGTCATTGGAATTTTAAAGCTCAAGGAGTCCTAATGATGCTCAAAGAGTCGATTGGGGATCGACAGCAGAATATGCACTTGCAATTGATCAGCATAACCAACATCTCATCGATCACAAAATTTATAAATGAAATTGAAAATGAATTGTTGAGATAAAGCTATATCATGTAGTTAGGAAGAAACCATATACATAAATATAAAAGAAATATTACGTTAAAATATCTTAATGTTCGCTCTTCTAAATTATTAAGAATTTGAATATCAGAATGGCTCATATAGCCACTGAACTACGATATATAATCATCTTATGATGCTGTCCAAATTAACATGGAAGAAGAGTTTATTACAGTAAAAGAGGAGTTCAAAGACTAGTTCAATATACACAGGTATGTTGAGTTTTGGAACTTCAAAGTCTTCCGAGAGAAATATGCCAAAAGAGATTAAAAATTGTTTACCAAACCAACATTATTGAATTCCCTCTTACAATTTTGCAGAAGCAAGCTTTAGTCAAGTCAATGATTTACAATTGAAAACAAGAAACAGATTGAATATTTTAGAATAAAGTATTTAAGAAATAAATTATACATTATCTGTTATAACATAAAGTATTACTGAGGCTACCCATATGTTGAAAAATTTGCATCAGTATGTGGCGTTCCGACAGATACTTCAACTTCTATTCATGAGATGGCGCCACGTGTAAAACCCAGTTCTTAATCGGAGCAGCAAAGCGACGTCATTACTCAAGGAAACCTCCTTGTCATTACTCACTCAGACTTCTCGTCAGACAAGTGTACGCGACGCTAGCATGAACTGTCTTCCGAGCTCTGCGTTAATCTCTGCAATGTAATTTAAATTGTAATTTAGTACTTAATATACTATTCTTTTGTTATAGGAGATTGTCTACTCTTATTTTCTTTAATTATATCATGCATTCAGCACACGACCACCAAAAGTATATAAAGTATTGCCTCAGTACCCATTAATTAAAATCGAACTTTTCTGCAAATTAGAAACTGTGATCTTGTTTGTAAAAATTTTTTTATACTTGTAAAATAAAAAACAATAATTGAAAAAAAAAGTTCAAAGGTGCGTTCTTTTACCATTTTGTGTGTTACCTTTATTTATTAAATATCATGTTCTCTCACTTAAAAAATAAAAATTAGTTCAACAGCGATATCGCAAAATAATTTTAAAATGAGAATATCTTAGAATTTCCGATACACAGTCTCGCGCGCTGAATATAAAAGTGTTTTTTCTGTACAACGTTGCCATGGCTCGCTTTGAAGACTTTGGGTTTGTTAATCAAAAATTTGTTAAAATTTCACAAAATATGGAATCGATAATAAAGCAAATTTCAAATTTGGGCTTCCAGATGCCCATATTCGCAGGAAGATTACGTCATTCAAAATTGGATGGCTCTAGGGACCATTGTTTTGTCACATTTGTCATTATTTAATTTCTTTAAATATAAAACAGGGCGATAATATTTGGTGGCAATAATTTGAAAAGTGAAACAGAGCTTGTAGTGAATCGATGCAAAATGCCAAAACGAAATTAATAGTCCTTCTGGGCAAATTGCCAATTTGGACTAATAATAATCTTAATAATAAAAAATCTGAAAGCCTTCAGATTTTATATTACGTCCAATGGGGCTTTTTTTTTTTTTTTTCCTTTACATACACATACACGTTTCAAGAGCATTTGGGATAATGTTTCTTTGGTCTAAAAATATTTAAAAACAGCCTATCTTTATAATTTCCGATAGATAGTCTCGCGCGCTGCAGATAAAAATGTTTTTTTTTTTTTTTTTTCCCGTATTGCCACTATTCGCTTCGAAATAGTTGAGTTTGTTAATCAAAAATTCGTTAAAATTTTA